ACAACAAAAATGCATATACTGCGGAGAAACAACACACAATTATCAAGAGTGCCCCAAAATAAACGACGTGACAAAAAAATGTTTAAATTGTGAAGAAAATCACCTACCAACAGATAAAAACTGCAAAGTCAAAAAAATAGAACAAGACATCCTAACCACTGCAACCAAAAGAAACATTTCAATAAAAGAGGCAAAATTAATACATAATCAATACAATAACAATTCCAAAAGATTCAGATTCTCAGACCACCCTGAAATGAACGAAGCTCCAACCCCCCAAGAACTCTATGTACAAAATACAAACACAAAAAAAAATAATCTAACTCCGAAAAAAACGATATTACATTCTCCGAAAAAAACTTACTCTAACATCCTACAAAACAAAAACACACAGGATGACCTTAGAAAAAAACACAACGAACTCCTCATTTCCCCTAACGGCAACTACAACTTAAACCCAAATTTTACAGCATTCAATGATCATCCAATCTCCCCAACTCCCCCACTCGAACCCTCAACTACATCACAAATTTCCATGTACGAAGACACCTATCTATTTAAAAATCAATATGCTATTTCACACGATTTTATAATACAATATCTAAATTCAGACCAAAATTTTCATAATTTATTAAATGAAAACATCGAAACTACATATAATCAAACAGATACAGAATCACAATTACAAAATTAAAATAATTACTAAAAATAAAAACCAACAATTTACTCTCCTAACTCCCAACAAATTACACTTCAACATCCTATCAACACAATTAATATATATATTTATTATCTTAACAAACAATGCTAAACACTAAACAAGAAGTACACCAACTTAAAATACTTCAATGGAATTGTCGAAGTATTTGTAATAAATTATATCTTCTAAAAAATATTATCAACTCTTATGACATTATCCTGCTCTCAGAAACCTGGCTAAATGATAAATCCTATATCAACATCCCTAACTATCATATTATAAGAAAAGACCGAACAACAGGAGAACATGGAGGAGTAGCAATTCTAATAAAAACAAACCTCCTTTTTCAAGAAGAAACAAATATCTATTATAACGAAAAAACACTAGAAACCGTCGCTGTATCTATCCCCCTATCCATAAATAATACAAATAAAGAAAACTCTATACTAATAATATCAACTTATAGAATCCCATCTACCCAAACTACAATAGATACCTGGTCACAATTTTTAAGCTCAACCTCTAACTATAAACACACCCTTATCGGCGGGGATTTAAATGCCCACCACTTTACCTGGGGTGCAAACAAAACTTGTAAATCAGGAGAAAATCTCATCGATGCACTTATCGACTCAGACTTATCCATAATCAATGACGGCTCTCATACTTACTTCAATAATCAAGAAGAACAATTCTTCTCATCTCCTATAGATATCACAATAATCTCAACCAACATTCTCAACTCTACAACGTGGAAAACTTACCCAGACCGCATGAATAGTGACCACCTCCCAATAGAAACCACTATCTCCATAACCCACGAAAGACCTCCCACCAACATTACACATAAAATAAACTACAAAAATATCAATTGGAGTCATTACTCAACTTATATAGACAAATTTATAGAAAACAACTCAGAAACAATAAAAGAATATAATGAAGAACAAAAATACAATCTACTAACCAACCTCATCACTTCAACAATAAAACTATACAAAAACAACAAAAATAAAAAACATACCAATAACAACTACAACATCAATCTAGAATATAACACCTCAAACATCAATTCAATAAACAACTTATCAGATTATAAAGAACCATCAATTACAAAAAAATTTAAATCCCAAACACCCAAAGCTCCATGGTGGGACCACAACTGCTCAAAATTAACAAATGAAAGAAGAAAAGAAACCAAAAACTTCCTTAAAAACCCCACGTATGAAAACCTCAAACTACTAACAAAAACAGAAACACGTACTAAAAATCAACTTAGAGACATCAAAAGACGAAAATTCCAAGAATTTGCTGAAAAAAAGATCTCGATAGACACGAATATAAAAGAACTATGGAACACTATAAACAAATTCAAAAACATCAACAACAATAACAACATAAAATATCCAAACAACGACACCGAAGTAATAAATAATGCAAAAAAATTCATTAAAGAATTCTCCTCATCCCCAAACACATTCCCTTCTCACCCACCAACATATAATCATATAGAACAACACACAAATGAACAAAAAGATCTTGACTCTCCTTTCAATATAGACGAACTAAATTTATCCTTGAAAGCAACCAAAGAAGACTCCACACCTGGCCTTGACCAAATAGACTACAAAATGTTAAAAAACACCCCACTATCTTTTAAAACGTTACTTCTATCTTCACTAAATCATTACTTTGAAAATGGTATTTTTCATGATACCTGGAAAAACTTTTTAATAATGCTAATACCTAAAAAATCCAAAAATAAATTTCGCCCAATATCATTAGCCTCATGCATACTGAAATTAACAGAAAGATTAATCAACACAAGATTACATCACTACATTGAAAAAAATAATCTTTTAACAGAATCTCAATACGGCTTCAGAAAAAGTAAATCTTGTCAACATGCATTAACCCACCTAATTACTGATATTCATTTAGCAAACAACAACAATCAAAACACCTTTTGTACTTTTATTGACATAAAATCAGCTTTTGATAATGTCTGTCCTAATATACTCGACAAAATCTTACTTAAATTAAAAATCCCCAAAAAAACCAGATGCTTCATCTACAATCTAATTACCAATAGATCTCTTCTCTTCAAAATCGGCAATAATCTGTTTGGACCACATTCCAAAAGTATAGGAGTTCCTCAAGGGTCTGTATTAAGCCCCCTGCTATATAATCTATATGTAAATGAACTCTCACAAATCATACCCCCCAACGTAAAATTAATCCAATACGCAGATGACACTATTATATATACTTCTGTTCCAGATATTAAACAATCAATAAACATATTAGAAAACACTCTTGAACTCATAATCAACTTCTTTCAACAACTAAAACTAACTCTTTCAGCTGATAAAACAATATTTATTATCTTCACAAAAGCTCCCTTTTCTGCTATTAAAAATTACTCTCTACTAATAAATAACACTCCCATATACCCATCAAAAAAAGTCAAATACTTAGGACTATATATTGACTACAATCTTCATTGGAATGATCACGCAAACTACATAATAGGAAAAAGTTTAAAACTACTAAACATAATTAAAGTACTTAGAGGAACATGGTGGGGCAGCCACCCACAAATATTACTAAGAATTTACTCAGCTATTATTAGAAGCACCATAGAATACAGCCTATACCTAACACACATAAATAACTCAACTCTTCTTAAGAAAATACAAAAAATTCAAAACAGTGGAATAAGACTATCACTAGGATGTAGAATTTCTACACCAATAAATGTCCTACATGCCGAATCCAAAATTTTCTACATCAAAGAAAGACTTCAACATCTAGCTGATAAATTCATACTAAAACTAATATCATCTCAAAACTCACCAATCTTAATCAATCTAAAAAATTTAGACCACGATCTAAAACAAAAAGACAAATTTAAAATACAAAAAACTTTTATCCCAATAGAAACATGGAGAAATATAACAAATTTAACAGCTAATAAAATTACAACCCATGCACACCCTATCCCCTTCGATTATAACTATCACGCTACCATAAAAAAAAATCTCATTGATACAATCTCTGGAAAAAATATAAAATCCTCAAACAACCCTCCGCAAGAATTCAACAAATTATTTAATACCGAAATAAATTCTAATCTAACTTTTTTCACTGATGCCTCTAAAATTAAAACCTCTTCATTCTCTGGCCTTGCCATCTATAGCCCAACAACAAATTTAAAGCTTCAATATAAAACCTCACTTCCAGCTTCTATCTTTACACTCGAAGCACTAGCAATCTTCCTAACTATACATGAAATTAAAAAAATAAAACCAAATAAAACATATATCTTCTCTGACTCCCTCAGCGTCTTATTAGCCATCTCCAACTACTCACCCATTAAATCAAAAAACACATCACATATAATTCTTGATATCAAATCCCTCCTACATGAATGTGAACTTTTAAGTATTCAAATAATACTTATCTGGATACCATCTCATACTAATATCCCCTACAACGATACAGTAGATTTATTAGCAAAAGAAGCCATCCAAAAAGGAACAAATCTAATCACCCAGCTTCACTATACAGACTTTCTAGAACAAATAAATCACAACCATAAAAAATCACATAATGAATTTATTACAAACCAAAGCCAACAAAAAGGCTCCCATTACTTTAAATACTACTTTCAAAAAGAAAATCCTAGACCATGGTTCTCCAAAATAAACTATCCAAGAAGACATTTAACAACAATTATAAGAATCCGATCTAATCATTATAATCTAGCTGCCAGCTTACATAGGAAAAATATGACCAATTCCCCTTCGTGCCCATGCGGATATACCTCACAAGACGCAAATCATATTGTATGGGACTGCCCCAATTACCACCTACAAAGATACACATTAAAAATTAAATTAAAAAAATACTATGAAAAGAAGAAAAAACAACCCCCAACATCCATCGAGGAAATATTAACAAACCCAAATGAAATAACATCCAAATTTATAACAGACTTTTTAAAACAATGCAACTTATTTATATAACTCTACCTTCCCTAAAATCATTTTATATACCAAACTTAACTCTACATCCACACTACTATACCACAAAATCAAAATACCTATTTTACCGACAACTAAAATCAACTTTTACTATACCCTACCTACACATATACTTTATAAAATATTTTCATACACCCTCCCTACTCTTCTTCTCCTACCCTTTTTACCAATAAAAACTTTAAAATTCTTTTAAATTTCAAATTTTTCTCTCAAATTTGAATTGTGGCGCATCGGAGTCCCTAGGTACCCACAGCCATTAAAACGAAACGAAACGAAACGAAACGAAACAAAAATTAAGATACAAAAACCAAACACGAGTTCATCGAGTAATATTTTTCCGCTAATCTTTTAATTTTTCATTTAAACTTTAATTTTAATGTTTATCGTCGATAAGACCGACCAGGACTGATAGGTAGTTTCTAAGTTTATATTCACTGCCACGGTCTATATACTGTGGAGTATCAGTGGATTCCAAAACGAAGGTTAGCAAGTTTGATATTTTTCTTTTCACCCCGAACAAAGAAAATAATTAATAAACATTCTTGTCGAGGTAGTGACATGTTCGATTACATCGTAATAGTCGTGAATGCATTATCATCAATTTGATTGCATTTTACTGAATTACACTTGTAGGCAAAAATGCGCAGTTTCAACGAAAAAGAATTTGCGAAAAGTTTGATCTATTACAAATTTATTTACGATCATACGAACATAGATAATGTAGACTGTATTAAAAAGGACTCAGAATTTTCACAATCTTTGAGAAAGAAAGGCAATGAAATGTATGGTAAGCGTAACTATGATAACGAATACGAAGAAGTTCATGAATACTACTCAAGAAGCATTGCTTTTGCTCCAATTGATTCGGATGACCTTGCACTTGCTTATGGCAACAGATCAGCTTTGTTACACCGGATTGGAAAGCACGAAGAAAGCATTTTAGATATAGATAGAGCATTAGAAATAAACAAATCAGATATTGCTGTAATAGTCAAGTTGTTATGTCGTAAAGTTGAATGTTTAGCTGCATTAGGTTCATCTGAAAGTCAAAAAGTTTATGATAAAGTTAAATATTTGTTACCTGAGATCCTACAAAGGAACCAGAATGAAAAAAGTACTCTTGAAAACATGAGGAAAGCAGAAATTGCTCTTCAAAACTTGTGTCAAGTCCCTAATGTGAAAAACAAAGAAACAGAAGAGCACATGTTTGTTCTACAGAAAAAAGAATTACAAAATTCATTTGATTCAGTTGCCCTACAGTTTGATGAAAAGCTTGATAAGCATCTAATTGCCACAAGAGACATAAAGCCAGGAGAAATAATTTTTGTGGAAAAGCCATACATAGGGTGCTTAAATACCAATAAGGGTCACATTTACTGTGGACATTGTTTCACTAAAACATGGGCGAGTATACCTTGTGATTTTTGTCATTGGTGCATGTTTTGTTCCAAAAAATGCAAAGAGGTAGCTTGGAAGAATTATCATGTTGCAGAGTGCTCAGTTATTTCCTATTTAATCGATATTAAAGGCACTGTTACTTATAGTCAACAACTGAGTTTACGAATTCTGATGACAGAAGTTATAAAGTCAGGCAATCTTTTTAAATTTATAAAAGCTGTAGAATCTGCAGATAATCATACTGGTAAGAAACTGTACCTTTTTTGTAATTATTAAATATTTTTATAATGATTTTTTAACCTATTTTTTCAGATAAACTTTTACAAAAGAATGCTTGTATTAGTAATGAATTTAAAAGGTTTTATAGTTTTTGCGATAAAGCCTTTGAAAGAGTTTTGAGAAAATATGTTGATGAAGTATTTTATATATTAAGTATCTTATGTAAATATACAAATTTCTTTGGAGAACACATGAATTATATAAATATCGTGGACTTACGACATTACGAAGAGGTTTTGTCCATTGGAGCTGTTCTTCTTAAACTTTGCAGTAGAACCAACTTTCATTTTACTGATGTAAGTTTAAGACTTATAAATTTACATTAAGAAAAAATGTGACAATTTTTTCGTGTATGATATTTTTAATATTTCAGTTGCATGATTCAAATCCAACTGGCAGATGTTCTAATGGCTGCATAAACTGTACTGGTCTGCATTGCAGCAAAGGCGCTAGTGTTCATTCATTATCTTTTCTAGTAAATTATAGCTGTTATCCTAATGTCAAGAAATGTATTACAGAAGACTATAAAGCAATTATTTTCTCCTTGTTACCTATTAAAAAGAATACTCCAGTATGATTTATAAAATATTTTTAAAAAAATATTAAGTTTCATGTTCTGATACTCAACTGTTTTTTTTTTAGTTATTAATGGCATATCAACAGCCATTTTTTAAAGTTGACAAGTCCAGAAGACAAAATTATCTTTTTCATGATCTAAGCTATTCATGTGATTGTGAGGCATGTAAATTTGACTGGCCTACCATTCAAGAGCTATGGAAAATGCCAAAAGTAAGTGGTTTACTTTTTAACAGAAGGATTTTATTTGGAAAAATACTAACTATGTATTAACTTAATGTACTAATAATTTTCTGGTTTTAGGACAATCCCAAACTTTACATGAAATATTATAATAAATTAGAATCAGACTTATACAATAAGTTTGACAAACTTGTGAGGCCTATATTAATAGACTGTCAAAAAGCCCAGTATAATCAAGCAACAGTGAAAAAACTTTCAAATGCCATTGAACAAGCTGCCTTGTGCCTCCAGCAGCCATCTGTTGTTATATGTGAATTGATGATTTGCCTTCAATTAACGTTTCAAAAGCTTTATTTGAAATCATGATTCCACTTGTGATATTTTCATTTACATTTAGATACATTTTTATTTGTATAGCCTTCAGGCTTATTAACTAGTATTTACTTGTTATGAGGATGACAGAAAATTTAAATTTCAGCAAATTTCATCGATATTTTTCATTTTACAGTTAATCACTTTTTTTTATATTGTAACAGAGTAATGATCTTCATTATTGTTGAAAACTAATTATTGAGCAAAAATAACGAAAACTATAGTACGCAATTTAGTTATCATCAATACTTGTTCAATATTTATTTTTCATTAATTATTGAAGTCATTTACTCTCAACAATAACCTAAATAATAATTTTACTCTATATTGTTTTATAAAAATTCAAAACTTATTAAGTATAATGGTTTCTACGAATTCATAGATTAGGCTATACTTCGTATCCTCTCAAGATAAGTTGACGTTGACTGTTCTTGTATTCGGTTATTTAAGTCTTTTATATTACACTTTTTTTAATAAACTTGCAGAAATATCCTGCGTTACTTTTCATTTGATTAAATATTATTTGAATTATTTGTTCATTGATAATTGTAGTAAAATTGCGAATAGAAAATTATTCCTTTGAACTTTGCGCGCTTTTCTGGTACTAGTTTCATATATCATATATGTATATGCATATATATACATGTATAAATATATTTATATGTATATATACATATACATGTATATATGTACGTATATATATATCTAAATTGTGTGAGTGTATATGTGTATATGCATATATATATATATGTATATACATATAAAAAAACAATCATCATATAATACAAATAATTTAAACAATCCGCTTAGGGCGACGGAGGAAGTTAATACTGTAATTAATTTAAGCCGCTTCTCCTAAGCTGCCCTAAGCTCCCTAAGTCCGGCTAAGTCAACGCGCATGCATGATTTAAAAATTAAACAACATACACACACACATACGTACATATATACTGCACCCAGCTTAAGCAAGCTAGACTTGCTATCAGAAGCGGGTGCCGGAACACTGCAGCAACTGCTGCCAGCTCGACGGCGTCCTCCCTACTGGCTGCCATGAGGACCGTCGCTCCTTATATATCTCCGCCGGTGTGGTGTTGTCTACTTCTCGAGCCGCTTAGGGAGCTTAGGGCAGCTTAGGAGAAGCGGATTATATTAATTACACTATTAACTTCCTCCGTCGCCCTAAGCGGATTGTTTAAATTATTTGTATTATATGATTGTTTTTTTATATGTATATACATATATATATATGTATATACACATATACACTCACACAATTTATATATATATACATATATATGTATACACACACACACACACACACACACACACACATATATATATATATATATATCAAAAAAACAATCATCATATAATACACATAATTTAAACAATCCGCTTAGGGCGAAGGAGGGAGTTTATAGTGAAATTAATTTAATCCGCTTCTCCTAAGCTGCCCTAAGCTCCCTAAGCGGCTCGAGAAGGAGACAACACCACACAGGCGGTGATATATAAGGAGCGACGGTCCTCACGGCAGCCAGTAGGGAGGACGCCGTCGAGCTGGCAGCAGTTGCTGCAGTGTTCCGGCAACCGCTTCTGATAGCAAGTCTAGCTGATTTAAACCGGTTGCAGTATATATGTACGTATGTGTGTGTGTTTATGTTGCTTAATTTTTAAATCATGCATACGCGTTGACTTAGCCGAAACGCTGCAGCAACTACTGCCAGCTCGACGGCGTCCTCCGTACTGGCTGCCGTGAGGACCGTCGCTCCTTATATATCACCACCTGTGTGGTGTTGTCTCCTTCTCGAGCCGCTTAGGGAGCTTAGGGCAGCTTAGGATAAGCGAATTAAATTAATTACACTATTAACTTCCTCCGTCGCCCTAAGCGGATTGTTTAAATTATTTGTATTATATGATTGTTTTTTTTATATGTATGTACATATATATGCATATACATATATATATGCAGACATATATATGTGTATATATATATATAAATTGTGTGACTGTATACATGCGGATAATGCGGAATGTAGTTTTCGATTTATTTCGATCAACAAGCGACATATCTGAGTTTCAACTGTTTCAGTCGGCGATCTACTGCCATCTATCTATAATAAAAAAAAGTTAAGTATGAAGTAAAGTATGTTCCGATCATGATTCACGTATCCCTTGTTTATTTGACATTTGTTTTCGTAAATTCACGATAATAAATAATACATTATTTACCGAGGGAGCAGAGTGGGCAATAGACACACTGTGTGATGTTGCCAAACGAACGAAGTGAGGCATTTCACGCAGTACATGGTTTGCCTACTGTACCCCCATAGTGCATATACAATATATTCTGCACACCCCCGCGTAAAGGGGCGAGGTTGCACCATCAGTAGACGACGCAGAACCGCATTGACGTCAAAAGTAAAGTACTTTGTGTACATACAAGTGCACGAGGACGCCGCATGTTTTTAAAATTGAAAATTGAATGAAAACGGAATTTTCAGGTTAAGAATCGCGTTAAATAAAACGATAATAAAAAATATACGTAAAATAAATGGCAAATCAAAATAAAAGGAAATTAAGGATAGCTATTCAAGCAGAAATTTTAAGATCTCATCAACGCGATAATGATTTCATTACCCAAATGAATGAAAACATTACAGATTTGCTGCATCGATACAATCTTTATAGAAATGTTTCTCGGTTTTTCAAATCTGATGTACCAGCAAAAATACTTTACTTTATTGTTACTTCAGGCTTTGGTAATCAAACTCTTGGTGAAGAGTATACAGGAATTGTTCAAGCAAATTTGAAGATTAACAAAGTACCTTCATTATTGGTGAGTGAATAATCAATCTCGATAAGTTTTCTATTATTCTTTTGAATGTATCAAATAATGAGATTACTTTACTTTAGACAAGAGTTATTGCTGCTATTCTTGAATGTTTTGGAGAGCAGATGCTGATAAAAATTTTAGAGAAATTACAAATCACAATTAATAAGCCTAGCAATGAGCTCACACCTCAAGCTAAATTGTTTTTGAATACATTGCTTGTAAAGTTACGTAATGTACTACCTATTTTAATTTTGGTACATAGAGGATTATTTTACATGTATGGCAGATATTACAGCATTAGTAAAAGAATAACTGGGGTAGATTATGTTAAGGTAACAATATAACTGTAAAACACTATGTCTGTCATAAAATAGAATATATGACAAATATATAAACATTAATTTCAGATATATGGACCAAGACCACACAGCAGAGTTAGTTATGGATTGAGAGTTTTAGGATTTGCAACAATTGCACAATGTTTATTCAGACTTTGGCAAAGTAGAAATTTTACTGATGAAACAATCTATGACGAAAAAGAGTTTGAAAGCAATTACAGTAACCAATGCCAGTTATGTTTCAATAAAGTTTCAGACACAACCACTCCATGTGGTCATTTGTTCTGCTGGACATGTTTGGCGGAATGGCTGAGAGCTAGAGGTCGATGTCCACTTTGCAGAGAAAGTGCAGCTCCATCAAGAATTATACCTCTGATGAATTTGTAAATAATTAATTTGCTGATTGACTTTTTAATGTTTATATACATCAATAATGATTAGAATGTATGGTGGTGAATTTGTAATGATTAAAATGTCTGGTTCCTTGAATTTCGATTTAATTATTCATATTTACATGATCCTTTTATTTTTTATACAGTGAATATTATTTGAAAAGTAAATTTTGAGTTGTTCCAAAAGAAAGTATTCAAAAAAGTAATTAAGTCCTGCGCAAAAAAGGCAGGTTTATATGCTGTCTATCAAATGATACATTTGTATTTGACTACATAATACAATCTGTCTCCAAAAATATAATAAATAATCTCTTCTTACCTAAACTAACCGTAAAACGTAACAATAGCACACTATGTACATACAAAAATATGAAATTTTTATTACATTTTGCGCGCTACGCAGTATACCTTACGTGCACCTTCGCTTGCTAATTGCTTTTTTCGTATTGTATATCAACTTTTCACCCATAATAAACAGTAATTAATCTAGTGATTTTCCTTGGTTAATCACTTAACGCTCGACATAGAATTCTCAAAGGTATCTCATCGTCAACTAATCCTTAACTGTAATTCAATCTATAATATATCTAAAATTTATTGATTTTTCCTGACTCATTGATTTCCATCGTCGGTAAGAACACATCTTAGAACATTATTTGGTAAGTATGCTGGTTAAACAAGAACTATCGAGAAAACAATTAGCGCAGTTGACGGGTATGTATACAGTATTTAAAAAGTTCTTAGAAATCGCGCGAGTCGTTCTTGTAAAAGTCCAATGTAACATGAGAATATGTTACAAGTCCATAATTCGAGGCGTAGCTAAACGATTAGTAAAGTTATCTTCACGTCACGACGACGTACGAACCGATATTATACCAACTTTTTCAGCGATATTTCCGAGCAGCTGACTAATGCCCGTCGTATCCGAATTGTCCTTCATTTTCAAACCTATAGTCTGACTGTACACGCTAGAAAACATTTGCCTTAGACTCTCTAGTCTTCTCTGTCGTCTTGAAACACTGAAATCGAATGAGATTATTAAGCACTGAATTAGTTTTCAATTACAACGCTGAAACTTACTATGGATGATCTTCCTCGATAACAGTGGTGCTAGAATCGTGGGAGTTGTGTGCTGGCGCAGAATTGGTACTAGAAAAGCTGGAGCCAGACAACGGATGATCAAGCAGTACGGGTGCATTGGTGGTGGTAGACCCCCGTAAACTACCTGTGGCGCTGATCAATTGCCAGGAACCGGCCGATGACGAAGACTCATTGCGTTGCCGTACTCGGCTTGGCACCGGCACTGCTACCGGCGACGTCCGGCTCGCAGAAGTAGGCAGAGGTGAACGCGAGCCACCGTGACTCGTCGTCGAGCTGCCGTCAGCTTTGTTTGGCGAGTAGAACGACCAATTAGTCTGTGGTATCACGTTACTGCAAAGCATCATCCTTTTTAGTATATAGGAGCCGTAGATTGCTCGATGGCGCTGTTAATTTGTTCAAAATAAAAGTTTTACCCATTGGTTTGTGTATCGTCTGTGCTATCGGCTGACGAGCAGAAAAAGTACATGGGTGCATTGTTCTCCTGGCTGTCCCTGCTGTTGTTGCTACAACAGCTGTTAAGGCTTAAGTTGGAGCTCACTGTACTATGAGCCACGGTGCATTCGGTGTCAAACATGACATTATCGAGCTGCAAATCACTGTCATTCCTCAGTACCGGATGCTTTAAATTGCTATGCCGTTGTTTGTTCACGCTGAACTCATCCTCATAAATATACTTTAAAAAGTGAAAACAGAAGTAAAATATTTCCTCGCCTTTGCCTAATCGGTCCTGCAAGTCGTGGCCGAACAGCATCCAGTCGTAAGCAATTGTAAAATACAGCAGCTGTTTGGCGTTCAGCGTCTGATGAATTGCTCCGTCCGCCCACAGGCTTATTCGTAACAGGGATATGAATAAAGGTGTGCGATCCCAACCTATCAAATTTACCGCAAAATTATCACGAGAATAATAAGAGCTAAAAAGTTAGTAGTAATAGAAAAATGTACGAACCTGATATACAATGGAAGAGCATACCATTACTACTATCGTTGAGGTATTTCAAAATGAGCCTAAAATAATTTTGCGTAAGATTGACTAGGTCCCAGACTTGATACTGCTCCCAATTGATTTGGAGCTGCGAGGATATTGGGTCCTCAGGTATGCCGATTTTGGCGTCTATGTGTGGTTGGCTCCAGTCGAACACCAGACCTACCGCGAGGTAGTCGTTCTCCCGGAACTCGCGGAAAAACTCACAGCCCGGATATGGCAGTGATATTATTGTAAAGTCAGAGTACCTCTGCTCTTTATCGACCTTTTCCGATGAGGTCACACTGTAAAAACATAAATCGATAGTTCGCACTTCTCGCACACGTCTTTCGACGTAATTAGAAAAACAAACTCACTTAATTCCGAACTTGACTTTCTTTTTCTCGACCATAAAATCGATGATCGTTCCTACGTTTAGCATTTTAAGCAGCCTGATGTCTTGACTTCGAAACTTGTGAAAGAGCTGCCATTCGCCATTACCCGGTTCTTCACTTCTCTCCTCAACCGATTCTTGCATCGAGGCATTTGAATCACTGTTGGAGAAAAGGTACTCATACCCGGATCTGCCGTAAATCTCTGGGCCACCTGACAATGTCGCCGATCGACAAATGTTTCTACCTTTGTAGAGTATTACAGGCAGTGGGAACCTCGAACGACACCTCGCAATCCTTGCGTTTTTTATTAGCTCCTGAAAAAAAAAATATAATTCCAAGTATAAATATTTTATATGAATCTTTTTTATTTATAAATACCAATATTTTACCTTCAACTGTTTGGGCTCATAAATACTTTCATAAATGGTTTCAGTTGTTCGTTGAGGTGGCGAAGTATCACTGAGATTCTGATGACTTTTTTTATCATATTCTAATATTATAAGGTGACTAGGGTAGTGTGCACTCAAGTCACCAATGCTGTTATTTACTATTGTATGAGAATAGTCTAAGTCTGCTAGTAAAATACATCTCTGCATAATGGCCTGAGCCTGCACAAAAACAGAACAAAATAATATATTAGATTGAATGATGGAGAAGAAAATGGCAAATTATGACTAATGAAACTTACTATGCTGTCTGTCTCATTGGCTTTGTAAGTATTTTTAGAAAAGTACTTTAAAAGGTCGTGAAGGTCACTAGTAGTAATATCTGTCATGGTTGGAGTTGAACTCTTGGAATTTATTGTGAGAATTCAATGTGCGCCAAATTCTGTGAATATACCTGGAGTGATTTGTCGACAGCCAAGGTATTTCATAAGTATAAAATGCTGCCAGCCTCAATGTCCCCGACATACCATTACAACCCCTCATTCACAGAAACTTCTCTGGTATCCTATTCCAATGTTTTATTGTTACTGAATGCTTTGCTCGATTTTGGTCTATTGTATAAATAGTTGAGGTTGCTAAAAAATCAAGAATAATTATTAACCTCTTTTTAACACTTATATTTTTGAATTGATATTTATGGAAGTTAACTCTGAAAAAATTATACCAACTGAGAATGTTAAGGTGTAGCTAAACCATAAAACATTGTTTATCTATCTGAAATTTACATTACAGAATTTAATTTTAATCTTATCAGTTAAGAGTACATTTGTAATCGGAATGGCAAACATTACTCAACTTGAAATTTAGGATTATGAAGTAGTGTTTAATTAAGGAAACAAATATTATTTCTAGGCTATAATAGTCAATTATTTACATACAGAAATTTCATTTTCAGACTTATTTTCTTTAAGCCAATGCTTCTATAAATTAGCCTATGATTACAAATAACAGCTTATCTATCATGTTCGTTAACTGGCATGAAAAAAACAGCTGCTGCTTTCTTAACGTAACAATAATGAGAGAGTAATGACAATAATATTGACAATGACAATGAAATTAACATCTCCATTCTCAGTCGATCGTGTCCACATTAATAAACATACACTTTGATTTAAAAATTCTAACACCTATACGTGGACATATCTGTTGGGAATTTTAGTAGTGCTACACAGTCTACGAAAGCTACATGGCAAAATGAAATTCCCACTACCACGCAGTATCCACGATGAAAACAGGCGTGTGACAAAGGCGAGGAAATCCGAGAAAGACGACAGACAGAGACAGAGAGAGCAAGAAAAGCAAACGAATTACAAAGTGCAACAAGCACTACGCAAAAACTGCTGCAAAATGAAAATGCTGAGACCTTTAAAACTGGAGTATCAAGTAACGACGAAAGAAAAATAATTTGGTCGCAGCGATGAAAAGCGTAGGGTAACTAAGAACAACTTCCCTGGCCAAGCTACGCACCGCGACTGAAGCCGTCTCGTGGGTCGCTGACAGCAAACATAACCTGGAAACGGCACGCGTGCGTCGCTAATTGGAATCGGCGATCACGTGCTCAAATATGGCGGCGTAAATAGTTTCAAATACACAGCAATTTGCGGGTAGATAGAAGTATGTTTATTAGATAAACGCGTAGATTAATTTGATTAGCGCTTTTTTATTCGAACATTCTCTTCACACTGGAAATGTTTCGATTGACAGATAACTTATTAACTGCGGACGAATTTCTCTCGTAAAAAATTTTTAAATGTAAAATTATGTTATTTAGCTCGGAACCGTGACAGCCAATCGCTGTGTGTCGTTATACAGCTTTGAATTCGTTTGAAATTCTCGGTGTTGTTCCAATGGCAGCGCGTATATCATAGTTTCTGTTTATAATCAAGAATTGTTTGAGTTTTCGGTATTATATTGATGATAAAACGAAGAGATTATATTGTTGCCTTTATTCTTGATAAGTATTTCATGCATCAACAGACATAATAGAGCTTAAGAGGAGAAAACATGTTTTTTTGGTTTTGCTGTGTTTGAATCGATATTACGGTTCGAAGGCGAGTGAAATAAGCAAAGAAGCTGCTGAAAAATATGAAACTTTATTTCAAGCTTGCTGTTTCAATTGTAAAGAATTGCACGAGAACTTAAAAGAAGTGTATTCGTTAAATTGTTCAAAGCGTGCAGCTAAATATAAATGTGTCAATTTACGGCACCGAAAAATTTCATCTCAACTAATTCCCTGCATACTTCTCTGTTATGTTTTGTAAAACATAATGATATTTTTTTCAAATGTGACGTCTCTTATAGTTACTTTCGCTTATTGTTAAATACATCCATGTCGGCAATAAATAGGAGCTGCGCTTTCTTACAAATGCACTATACACATTTGTGAAACTACCATATTTTGAGAATAAAAAAAAAATATTAAGAACAATATTTGCGATATTAATGACATTACAGAAACAGTAGTGAACGTTGATCCTACTAGTCAACCCAATTTACACCTACAATGATAATTGTAATTATATAAATGTTCTGTCTAATTACAATAATATTTACAATATTTAAGTCGCAGATCTTGGGGAAGTTTCAGGAATAATGTTTGTAAAACCATATAATAAATATGAATTTGGTCAAAACAAAGAAGATCAATTTCTCTCGTTGTCCTGTACATATTTGGATGCCAGTGATAAAAAAATGAGAGCATCAATGGACCATTGATGTATATTTTTTTAACGAAACCTTCAAGAGCGCCTTGCGATCCGTCGAGAAATATTTATGCATGTCAGAGCGACGGAGATGAATCTAACCGACATTCACGTGTAGAGAGATACGGCCTTCGTTTAGTTCAATAGGACAATTGAAATGATCATTAAAACGTGCGCGCACGCGAACGAGAGAGAGATAGGTTTAGTAGACTGACGGTTCTGGCAATGACTGTGGCAGCACGTACGTACGGAACTAGCATCGCTCACTCTCAGTGGACGTCCAGTTTTATTCCGAGAGCATCAACTCTTGGCGAGCGGCTATCGCGCGAGGCACGCCGACAATCGAGCACTCCCATCGTCCTCCGACTGCAGCGCCCGAGCATGCGAACCTTGTGTGAGCGCGGAGTCATGCCGCTGCCGCGAGTCCTGGTTGCAGCGACGCTTCTGGTGGTGTGCTGCAGCGGTGACCGACAGCAGCAGCAGCAGCAGCAGAGCGGAGGCTTCAGGCTGGGCCGCCGACAGGCCGACGACGAGGTGATAGAGCAGCGCGAGGAGGTGGCGCGCGGCTCTCCGGACTGCGCGCTCAGCTACGTCCGCACCTACGTCGCCAGCAACGAGCACCTGGTGACGCGGCTGGACGTGGACGACCTGGGCCAGGGCGCCACGGCTGCCCTCGTCGCCGGCGGGCCCGCGCACACCTTCGTCAGCCTGTCCTTCGCCGTGGCGCGCCACGGCCGGATGCGCTTCAACGTGACTCTCTACGGCAAGCTGCCGCCCTATCGCAAGGTCGTCCGCTGAGCGGGCCGTGCTCGCGGCTACTCCCGCGGGTTGCTCGCCAGCGAGCGCGCGGTCGCCGCCGGCTCGGAGCTCCGCGTCAGGCTCAGGTCGCCGAAGGTCAGGCCGGCGTCGCCGGCGCATACGTACTCGATCTCGATGGACCTGTCGCTCGCCTCGCGGGCGTCGAAGACCACGCTGCCGACTCCCGCCGGGCAGTCGAGCTTGGAGGCGCGGTAGGTCGCCCGCGGCGCCTTGTCGTTCTCCGAGATCTGCGAGACGAACACGTCGGAGCAGCGCGTCGTCCTGCACTCGGCCCTGCTCGCGAACAGGAGGAGCCCGTCCTTGGTGTTCTTCACGCGGAGCAGCGTGACCGGGCTCGAGAAGGCGAGCGTCTTGTTGAGCATCAGTCGGCCGTAGTTGTTGAACTTGGAGCAGTTGACGGCCCTGTCGAGGCTCGCCCTCAGCGTCCAGCAGACCGACAGCTGCGACGACGCGACCTCGCCGTAGGCGGCGCTCCTCAGCGACAGCAGCTCGGCCTTGGTGTACTTGGGCGGCTGGGCCGGGCCGAGGATCATCTTGTAAGTGGCCTCCTCGTCGCGGTAGTGGTAGGCGTAGAAGTCGACGTTCATGTCCTCGATGGACTCGATGCGGGAGCCTCGCCACGGCAGGTCCACGTTGCTCGCGTCCAGGCCGCCCTCGTCGAACGGCAGGGTGAACGAGCACCAGGCGCTGGCCCGGCAGAAGCCGCTGTCCGCGACGAACACGCGGAACTTGGTGCGCGAAACCAGATTGTTGCTGGCGATCACCAGGTGGCTGCTCGGCAGGAAGTCGGCGTAGGCGAAGCCGTAACTGCAGCCTCGCACGTTGATCCAGAGGATGGTCGACTTGCGCTGCCCGGCCCGGAACTCCTCGTCCACGGTCAGCAGCACCCTGTCCTCGGACGCCCGCCTCAAGGAGCTCACGCGCACGTCCACCACGCCCAGCTCGGGCGTCAGCCGCAGCGAGCACTTGGCGCGCGCGGCCGGCCTCTTGCCGGCGATCTCGACGCTCACCGTCGGCCGCAGTCGCGCGTCTCGCTCGTCCTCGCCGCGCTCGACGCTCGCGAACGCGAAACTGCCGTCGCGGAACAGCTCCGGCGCGACGGCCGGCGAGCCGGCGAACGTTTTCGGCACTGTCACGGACTGGCCGATGCCCAAAGCTCGCGTGCACTCGGCAAACGTGACTAGCAGATATGCCAGCGCGGCGTGGCGGCGAGTCATCGTCGCTGCTGAAAGCAAGCTGCTGCTCTGCAAGCAAAATGTTAACGGACTGTGACTGCCTCGCCTCGAGGAATGTACTTTGGTTGCGTCACGATGTCGACCGGCTGTGCGCAAAAATCTGAATTCACGATTTTTTTTGCTGTTGCTCGGCTACTTGTAGAACGTCATTGTTAACGACGCTCAGCTTCGCGGAAAGCGATTCTAATAAAAATCACGACTCAACTGGAATATATTTATGCTCTCACCTGTTTTCTTGCCCCAAGGAATGCGATTTTCTTAACTCGCGTTCGGGGTGACCCAAGAGTGACGCGCGATCAAACGACCAGCGCTAATCTGACTGCAGGTTTAAGCCATCGAGACGAGAAGCAAGTTTATCTCGCATTGGATTTATCAGCGAGTTAGCAAATGCTCGATAGGGGCCCATCCAAACGCGAAAACTCGACGCCCGCTAATTAATCAACAACAGTCTTAATCTGTCAGTTCGGAAACTTATTAATTCGAAAACAAGAGTCGCACGAAACGCAACTCGCTAAAGTTGGCAGGCTGTCTCGAGCTCTCGGACCTTTGCAACGTTTCCATAGAAATATTCATATATAGCGAAAGGAGCATTGGAAAGGCTTGAATTGGGCAAGCGCAAGCGACGAAAGTTCAGAGGCTGGTCGACGCGACGACCGGAAGCTCTAGGCGGTGCGGTGCACCAACATTGTATTCTCTCGCGTTGCTCGAGAAGCGCGATAAGCTCCAAATGTTCGTGCAACGTTCGACGAGCGACGAACGAATGACGTTGGGCGTGCCTACGCGCGAGTAAGAGAATGTCTACGGGCTCGCAGTTGATCTACGGGGTGCCGTCGAACATTAAAGAAACAGGGCCTCTCGGGTTCGAGGAAGCGGGGTAATGGAGCCGTTTATTCAAACGAAAGTACAGCTGTTTGTTCGTCCTCGGAGCGATTCGACTAATCGACGACGAGGAGATTGTCGGCGTTGAGGTGCGACATGGACAAGCACTTGATCGCAAGCTTGAGACGGTTGATGGTCCCGTCGCGGTAGGACTTGTTCTGCTTGGCGACAAAGTGGAAGCAGAGCTCGTCGAGCTTGTTCTTGGAGATCCCGGCGTGGAACTCGTCGACGCCCTTGAAGCCGATGCCGCCGAGGCGGACGGGCCTGCCCCACCGGCCGTCGGAGTGCAGCCGGACCACCGAGAAGTCGTCGGCGCTGCTGCCGTTGTGGCGCAGCCTGCCGGTGAGCAGCGTGAGCGACCTGCGCCGGGAGTTGCGCGTGGCTATCCAGCGCGTGGCGTTGGACCGGGGGTCGTCGTCGTCGTCGTCGTCGAGCCGCAGGGTGGCGCTGGCGCGGAAGCCCGAGCGCGGCTCGTGGAGGTGGCAGGTGAGCGCGCTGCCGTTGGCGAGGGCGCACAAGCTGTGGAAGCCGTGGAGGCTGGAGACGGTGGCCCGCAGCGTCCGTCCCCCCGGGGGGACGTCGATGGCCATGAGCGGGCGCAGCCTGCCGTCGGCCTCCACCTTGACGACGTAGCCGCGGGGCGCCACGCCGGCCAGCAGGTAGCCCTCGTCCAGGAAGGGCTGCGCCGGCGGAATCACCACGGGCACGTCCGAGTCGTAGAGGATGCTGACGGGCCCCGCGAGCCGCTTGCCCTCGGCGTCGTAGCTGAGCTTGCAGAGGCTCGCCGCGCCGCAGAAGCTGCGGTAGCCGACGATCAGGTCGAAGCCGGCCTTGCGGGCGATCGCGTGGGCCACGCTGCGCACGGGCAGCGACACGTCGCTGAACGCGCAGCCGGCCATGCTCAGCACGCGCACGTTCGTGCGCCAGTCGCCGCGCTCGCTCGCCACCGACCACGAGAACAGCGCCTTGCGGTCGTCGAGCAGGTGGAGCCGCAGCTCGGCCAGCTTGGCCGCGCGCGGCTCCTCCGGGGCGAAGAGCACGCGGCAGGTGCGGTTCGGCAGCGTCGAGCCGGCGAACGCCGGCGCCTCGACGCTCACGTTGCACTGCACCTGGTCGAACAGGTACTCGGGCAGCTGCTCGCAGACGGCGTAGACCAGGCTGCCGCTCCTCGTGGTCGGCCGCCCGCCGAGGATGATCTCGGCGTTGTAAAGCGTCAGCTCCCGCGCGTAGCTGCTGACGGGCAGCCGGGCGTGGCAGCCGACCGCCGCGCAGACCAGCGCGCCGGCCAGCAGCGCGACGTGGTGGCCCGACCGGCTCGCACGCTTCATCGGGACCGTTGCGGGCGCGCGCGCGCGCGGCACTCCAAATCTCACTGTCGCGACTGATCCTCCTTGGCTTCTGCCCGCTCGCCTCGTTTTCTCGCCGCGCGCGAATTATCCAATCTCCGACCCGCTCTCGTTCCGGAAAATTTGAATGCGCCGAGCGTCGCTGGACGGACGTCACGGCCTCGACGAATCGGCGGCGGCCGGCCTTGTGGCTTTGCTTCGCGCGGATGATTACCCTGACCGTAGCTGCGAGTGGGATTTAACTCGCGTCCGCAAGCGAGCGAGAAAGAAGTACGCGCCGTCGTCGATACGGTTTCAAAGAATTACTCGTGGCCGCGGACTTGGGATCGAGTCGGCCGTGCGCATTATCGCGGATGCGTTCACACTGGCAGCGCTACGAACGTCACGCGCGACGAGGCCCGAGAGATCGAACAAGAGGCGAGGCGCCGGCGATTCCGGCTGCTCGGCCCCGCAGCGGCAAGCCACGCGGGCGATTGTCGTTTGGCGCTCGGCATGGATCGAGCCGAATGCCGAAGGGGCGTGGGAGGCGACGCGCAGAGAAACAGCAAAGAAAATTCAGTTTTTATTTGATTGGCGCGCTCTACAACGTTTGGCGAGCACGGGCGATACGCGCAGCAATCGACCGGGGACATACCTCGACAGGCAGCGGTCAGCCGTCGTCCTCGACGTCGAGCGAGTGAAGAACGAGGCGGTTGGAAGCCTCGCAGACGTACTCGAGGGCCACGAGCCCTTTCGAGGCGATCTGCCGAACGCCGAGCGCCAGCCTGGTCTTGTTGGCCAAGCAGTCCAGCTTGACGGTCCGGCGGACGGTCGCTCGGTCCGAGAGACTGCTGACGAACACCTCGGCGCACTCCTGGCCGGCGCAGCGCGCCCTCTCCGCCACCACGACGAGCCGCGGCTCGCCGTTCGACTGAGCCGCCACGGCCAGCGGTTTGACGGGCTGCTCGTAGCGCAGAGTCAGGTTCAGCCGCGGATTGGCCGCCTTGTCGAGCAGCACGCAGCTGATCTGCTCGTCCAGTCCGGCGCGCAGCAGCCAGCAGAACGCGAGGTCCGCGGACACCACCTGGGTGTCGCTGCCGGCCTCCGGCAGCACGAGCCACAGCTGCTGCCTGGGCGGGCGCACGGCGGTGTTGTAGGCCAGTACCCTGTACGCGCCGGCGTCGTCGAAGGCACGCACCATCAGCACGTCCTCGCTGAAGGAGAACCCGTCGACGAAGACCTCCCGCGACCAGTCGACCTCCGCCGGCAAGCAGTGCGTCTCCAAGCCACCCGCCCTGTCGGCGTCGGCGCAGGCCGCACCGCCGGCGCGCGCCCGCGCGAACACCTCCAGCCTGCCGCTGGCCTCCCTCGGCACCAACGGCTGACGCTCCGCCAGGTCGGGGCTCGAGTACAGGCGCAGGCTCTCGCAGCTGCTCGCGTCCAGCACCACCACGAAGCCCTGTCGGCCCTCCCGCTGCCGCGCCTCCTGGCCCACGAGCGCCAGCCTCTCGCCGTCGAGCCGGCGCAGCGACGTCACGGCCACGGCGCCGCCGGGCTCGTCGGGCCTGAGCGTCAGCGAGCAGTACGCCGCCGACGAGCGCCCGGCGACGATCGTCACGGCGATCTTCAGACCCGCCTCGCCGCGAGCTCGCCTCACGGCGGCGAAGGCAAAACTGCCGTTGCGGAACAGCTCCGGAGACACCGCGCACTGGCTGTAGCTGGGCAGCTCGTCGCTCACCGCCGCCACCCGTCCGACGCTCAAGGCCTTGGCTGCGCCCAAGCACAGCAGCGCCGCGACGAGCCGAGCCGCTGTTGCGTGACCCATGCCTGCTTTCCGCGACAGGCTCCTCCTGTTTGCCAAGTCTGAAACACATTCGAATTTTTCACGACTTCGCGACTTTTCTTCCAGGCAAGCTGAATTTTCGAGATGAGGTCTTGAGTATAGTGCTCGATCACATATCAGTTTCCAGTCTCGCGAGGATGGGTGGAACGTTATTTACGATCGCCGGTTTGTTGCAAATTTTCCACACAGATTTGCGTTTTTCGTCTGTATCTATTATTTATCCATTCAATGCCACCGAAAAATAGTTCGGTATTATTTTTTGCTCCAAACAACCCACAACAGTAGACCTCCAGGGTCAAAAAAACATTGATAAATTATAAGCGACAAAAGCATTGTCAATGCCATTTCAAATAAACAATAAAAAATGGTGTTATTATCAATCGCAATGCATAGACTCATTCGATGTAACCGTTGAAAGATTCACTTAGAAACTGCGTTAAATGGTTTATTAGTTATGGCCTTATAAACAAATGAACTGTTTATCAATGTGCACCTTTCATCAATGATTTTTATTTATTTCATAGTAGATATTACATTGTATCGAAATATATATTTTTTTTAGTTTTTAAAGTTGCTCAAACAACACATAGAGGTTTATTTTTCATAGTTTAAAATGAAATAAATAATGTAAGCAAGTGACATTAACGTATTTTATTGCACCCTTTGAAAGCTCACGATGAGCTTTCAATGAATAAAATCGTGAAAATTCGTTAGCAAGCAGGAACCGTATAGACTATCACAATTTTACATCCTGTATTGTTGAACAAATTATAGGTTCCCCCAGCGGGTGGAAAAATAAACCTTTCGCAACCGGTAGCCCGAATACTGTCATATGCAAAAACATTGTGTTTGTGGCAGTACGACAAGGGGAATAAAACGTTATCAAAAGTAAGTAGGTCACTGGAATTTTTGAAAAGTCGTGGCTCGGCGAAAGACCTGAGAAAGTAACCGATAGCTTGCCCGGCACTGTAAAAAACTAGTTTCTCGATCTGATAATCAATGGCCTAACTATTTTGAGGATTTGTTAATGACTATATTATCATGACTTCTCGTTAATGTAAGCAATGACACTGCATTCCTCGAATAGCGTAGTATCAATCTTCAAAAAATGCTGTTGTAAAAATTTAATTTTTATATTAACGAGAAGTCACGATGAAATCATCATGGTTGACCAAAAAAGTTGCATAGTTGATGGGCCATTGATTTTTCAGAGCGATCAACAGTTTTTTCTAACGCCGGGCGAGTCGGCGTTCGTTATTTCAGCTTTTTCGCCGCACCGTGGCTTGCCAAAAATTTCTGCGACCCACTTATTTTTTGATAACGTTTTTTATCCAAGTGCCATACTCCCATACGCGCACAATTTTTTTACCCGTTGGAATATATTTTTTTCTCTTGCTATAGAATAATCTAATTTGTTCAAAAATAGCCCCGTCAACTTTGATGTAGTCTATAACTTCTCAGCTTGTTTATGAATTTTGGCGATTTTTTAAAATGAAATATCTTATCGCGAGTTGTCAAAAAATTGTAATAAAATATAACAATATTACACGCATACGTTAAATAAATGTCATTTTGGACAATGCTCTAGATTGCATACGCACTGATAAATAGTTAATTGGATTATAAGGCCATCACTCGTAAATCATTTAACTTACCGATTTCAGCTTTCGAGAGAAACTTTTAAGCGAAAAGATTCGATTGGCAATAACGCCATTTTTTATAGAATAGCAAATTTTATATAAATAATATTTCCGTTGCTTATAACTTATCGATGTTTTTTCACGCTGGAGATCAACTTTCGTAGGTGGTTTGGACACAAAAAGAAAAGTACTTAACTATAATTCTCTGGTGTAATTAAACAGAGGCGAAAAGCGCAAATTGACGTGAAAATTTTGCAATCAAGCGGCCCGTAAACAATGTTCCACCCATTCTCACAAGACTGGAAACTAGTATGCGATTGCACACTATAAGAATATATACTCGATAATGAACTTACCGGAAAGAAAAGTCATGAAATGCTTTTCTTTAAGCTCTATTCCTTGGACTATTCAGACGCTCCGAATCGACGTGGGATCTCGTAAGGCCGGGCGAACACACCGAGATGTCGTGTACGCCAGGTAATTCCGCACGAATTGGAGTCTTTTCGTTTTATACCCTCGGTTGCGGCCAAACAAGCTGAACTAACGGTGCGCGCTCGTCTCGAATGCGTTAGCCGCGGCTTGAGAAATTTCGTTGCGCAAGACCGTGGGTTAATGCCCGAAAATCTTCTACGTCAGATAGCGATATGCCAGCTTATCTAATGCCCTAGGTCGGTCTCCCTAGAATCCCGCTCGTATACGTCGAATTACAGTGGCTTTGAATTATGTACTCCGCTCGCTTCGTGATGCGATCGTCACAGAATCACCGTTGGATATTTAGGCTAAAAAGCGTCCACGATTTGTGCTCGCATCGACGAAGACGAGGCTGTGCATGAGCGCTTTCGTCGGGTTATATGCGAAATTGGTGCCGCTGAATCCGACGAAACGGCTGGTTTCGGTCGAAGTAGCTGGTGCATGTGCTGCGATGGGCAGCTATCGTGAAAGCTCTCTAGCCACTTGGTACGAGAAAGCGAACTACGGTGACTGCCGAATAAGACATCGTCCTGCCCGATATGACGAGAAATGAATTGTCGAACAACGGAATAATCCATTATTTGCTTTATTTATCGGGTATTGCCGTAGAATTCGAGGAATCGTCCGGGCGGAAAGTTCGTTAATTGCCTTGCAAATACTTCAGAAACGAGCTGACTGACTTGTCCTACTCGCTGTTAGAGGGAGCAAGTCACCGCGTGAAAACAAGCTGGTACGTCAAATTAACGCGACGATCCTCGTTATTCTCGGATTGTTTTCATTTGGAATTCGAAAAAGCAATTTATCGCGTACAATCGATTAACGCCTCCATTGATGAAAGGCAATGGACGATGCGGACAGCAGCAATTTCATCCCGATGCCGTAGTTCCGTCGCACTTTCATTCACGCGATACGACTCGGTTACTTGGCATCCGCAATTGCGCGCGCAGTCCCAGAAATTTTATGCCGGTGATAAATCCTCGGTCGTCGTTCGACTTACCGATTCGGTCAACTCGCTTGCATCGGCAGCGACAGCCGCGCGCGAGCAGACCATTAGTCGAGGTGACTGCGACGTCCGGCAGCGGTCGCGTCCATTCAGCGGCAGCGAGCGGAACATCGTAAGTTCGTCGGAGACTAGCTGGTCGACGGGAGTAGCACCCTGGTGTACAGTCGCGAACTGCAAGGAGAGCGCGCCAAGAGATGCGCGGCGCACGTGGTCCGCGCCGACGCCAACGGTGAGAACGCGGTGCGGGCTTGGTGGATAGAGGGTCGCGAGCAGCAGGCCAGCTACGCGAACGCCGGCTTCGACGTGACGCCGGTAACGGGCCACCCGTCGCGAGGCGTCCTGAAAGTTGATCGACGAGCGGCGCTACGTGTACGCGGAGCGGGGCGTGGAGCTCGACTCGAACGGCGGTTTCTTCTGCGTCCGCATGGACGGGGAGCCCGACTGGACGATCGGCGTCGCGTACACGCCAACAGCTCGGCCGCTCGCTCGCCGAGCACTTGCGAGAAGAGTTCGAGCGTCCATCGGAGGTACGGCTTCTGCTGGACAAGACTGGACGGCCGGCGCAGCGTCGACCAAGTCAGTCTGGCCTTTCCGGGCGCGATCGATTGGCTGGCGGTGCACAGCCTGCTGCTCGTCCGTCACCGGCAAATACCACGCGGGCAGGTGCGATCAACGACAGAGTCGTCGGCCGAGAAAGCCAACGCGCATCGCATCGGCAAAGATTTCGTCCAAACGATTGCTCGAGGACCACGTTCGAGAAGTGGGTGCACGATCATTGTACTCGTAATTTTTATAATAAATAGCTACTACGAGCTCGTCGTCTGTCATCGCAATGCGATCATTCTTTTGCGCGGGGTTCGACTGAAAGCCACCGATCGCAATCACGCAAAGCTTTGGCGACATTCGGACGGTAGACACCGACCAGAGCTGAGCGCTACAGGCGGAGCCGGCTTCATTGGCGAGAAAGACTGGCGGCAAGACGGGAAAGCCGAAGCTCGCCTGGCTCTCGGATGACGAGGATGCAGGAAGAAGGCCAGTGGATCCGATAAACGACGTCCAACGACGGACTGCTCTTGTCCAGCCCCGGGGGTACAACGAACCGTGCGCCGAGCAATGGCAAGACAGGCACCGAGATCCGAGAACGGAGAGCAGAGGGCACCGTTGTTTCGGACAGAATGTGAGTCCGAAGTTCGAGCTTTGACGAGGAGACGAGTCTAATCGAATCGAATAATAGTGACGAAAGCACTGCGCATTGACTCTTCGCGAACACCCACAAGACGACTGGTTCGCGTGGCAAGGAAGGCTTGGGAAGCGTGCGCGAAAATATCCGTTTGAAAACATTTGCCGCTATAGGTCGAGTATCCAGTGTGCATTGCGTCAACAGCGATGATGAATTTCGTAGATATGGCCGTATACGAGTATATCTATGAGTACGTCGTCACACCTTGACCGAAAGCACATTTAAATTACTTTTTCGCGCTATTCCGTCCGCTGTGTTTGTTATTTTCAACAGGCGTACGCCTTGAAGATTGCAACCTTATCTCGGACTCTCGGATCGAGCGTCGCGCCATCAATGTAAAATATGCGATGTGCGTCTTAGATTTAAAACTATAGTAATGTTTATCGCTGAAGGCCGTGCTACAATCGGTTTTGCCATCGAAGCTGTTTACGAATACGTTATTGCCTTGATCTTCAGTTTTTTTTCTTTCTTTAATGGAATTTGCAACTCTCGCGTATGCACGCGTGCAGTGTCTGGCGGAAAGGCGTATCGAGTACGCCGAAATATATCAATAACGCAATTATTCGCATATCAATATCATCGGTCCACTCGGTTCACTGGGTAGCCGCATTCAGCACCAGTCCTTAAGGCTACCGCTCGCGAAGAATTATTCATTCGGTTGAGCTGTCGACAATAATTCGAGTGAGTTCTTGGCGTCGCGTAAAAAGTTTTCATCTACGTCGATCATGATTTCAAGGTTTCTCGTTTGACAGATGCACGATGAATTGGCAACGCGGCAGCATGTCTCTCTGCATCTTGGCAGCGATTGGTTTGATACAGCGACTCGGCATCGCCCAGTCGCCGGCGTCGGAGATCAAGGATGAGTTTCAGATGAACGTCATGATAGCCGGATCGGACAAGGTGACATATTCTCGCAACTTCAATCGCCATCGTGAATTCAGCTACGCGATCTGCTCCGGGACGGTCAGCAAGTTTTGCAACGTCAGCGTGATCGTCGCCTCGAAACCCCTCAGCGGCAAGACCTGCCGATTCGAGTTGGACCCGTACGAGGCCACCGAGCTCGGCGTGGCCGCGCTGCTCTTGCCGGACGACGAGCATCCAAGGGACATGGTTGCGGTCGAGTGGTACAGAGTGGGACCCTACGATCACTTGGACTCGTTCATGGCATTTCTCACGATGGCGGATTGCAAGAATAACGCGCACCACTTCGTCGGGAGCATCGACGAAACCAAGGGCAGCCCGACTCACGCGATAGCGTACCGCTATCCGAGGATACGAACGTCGGCGAGGATGCGCCACGGACGAAGGTTGATCAAGGAGTACGCGTTCGGACAAGCCAGGCAGCGCGGTGGCAACGGCTCGGCGAACGTGCGATACATCCGAACGAATCACGCGTGGCTGGGCGAGGAACAGCCCGTGGAGCTGGCCGCGAGTCAGGGCTTCTTCTTCGTCGCGGCCAATCAGTCGACAGTGGACGTCATGTACGCGAACCTCACGACCGAGGAGACGCAGCTGTTGGGCAGCATCGGCGGCGCGTACCCAAAGACGTCCGGCGCCCACGGACGCTACGGGCTCTGCTGGAAGAAGCGGGAGAGGGACAGCCGTGTGAATTGCACCCAGTTCCTCGCCAGCGGCCAGAGGAGCGTGGGCCCAGCGAGCCTGGAGTTGCCGGAGTCGGTCGACTGGCTGGCGGTGCACAATTTGAGGGAGTCCGGCATGCTGCTCGTCACGGGTCAGTGCGACGCTGGCCGCTGCGACGGCTTCGGAGTCACCAGGCTCCACGCCGACGGTCGCACGAGTGGCCCGCTGCAAGTCGGCAACCTGAACGCCACGTGCCCGCGGCGACCCGCGTACCTCTCGATGGACGTCACCGAGGCCGGCTCGACCGGGGAGCTCGTCTGCTTTCATTTCGTTTGCCTGGAGCACCGATACTCGGCGGGGCCTTCCGTGGAACGGACGGGCGCCTCTCTGCAGTACCGCAGAAAGTGCCTGGAGCAAGGACAGCTAGCGGCGTTGGATTTTTCGCGGAGATGCGTCTCGATCGGCCCGAACTCCAAGCGATAAAGCGATCTCGTTTCCCGACGATCGTTCTTTCTCCGCGAGCCTGTTCCAAGCTCAGCCAGCGCGTTAGATGCTGACCGGTATCGTCAATTATAATATTGCATCGAAAGTCACTCGTTTTTTGTGTCGATGCAACGAAGCTCGCGTAAACAAGAGATAATTTTGCGCTTCATTGTCAGTCGCGTGCACTGCGCAAAAACATATCGAATGTCACCGGTGCGATTTATCCGACACCGAAAGCAGGCATCGCGTTCACATTGGCGCGAAACTGCTCGCGCGCGCAAAAAAAAAGAAAGAAACGAAAAATCACAGCCGAATGCGCTGGACGACGAAATAGTCGACTTCCTGCGGCATCGTAAAAATGCGCCGATCCGCCTCAAAACGAGCTCCTACGGTGTGGTTCGGCAGAAAATTGGAATGATCAGCCACGGATCTCTCGCCGCCCATTTTCATGAAAACTCGACGTTCGCACTGTGCTTTTCCTTTCACATTTTTTTTCCGGGTTACAACGAAGCACGAGAACGAACGGCCGCCGTCTCTCGCGCTCGTCAGCCACTGAAGCTCGCGGAGGGAACGGCCGAAGGTCAATTGGCGAGTTCCCGAGTGCGTCGAGGCGAGCGTTAATTCGCAATTCGCGCAGCCGAGTCGGTGATGGCGACTCGAGTTTCTGTCGCGGACGAACTCGTCGGTGCTCGCGGCCCGACCGTGGGAAAAGCCGTCCTTCGCGGATTCGGCGCGAGACGTTTCGGTAGACTGACTCGAGCTGAGAATCGACGATAACAGCTCGCTCCGCCACGCGGCTAACGTTTTCAAACGCGAACGACTCGTCACAACGAGCCGCGTGCTAATCCATTTCTTTCGGTCGTTTTGACACAAGCTTCGTCGTCGCTTCGCTCAATGACGTAACTAATTCGGTTTCGTTGGAGCTCCGATACAATTTCATTGTCGTCCGCGGCCGAGCGATTTAAATTGACATCAGTCGAGTCGCCCGTCTCTAGCGTGGAAAAGTACGGGAAAGAAAAATGGATAATCTCCGGCGATCGGCGGCTGCGAGAGAACACACGAAGGAAGCAGAGTCGCGAGATACATTCGCTGCGTCGAGTGCTCCTCGAGACTAATCTTTCAATCGAAACCACGGTATTTTTCGTCGACAAGCAGCTATACCCATAGATCGCCTCCTCGTCGCGACAAACAGCTCGGCTCCCCATCGCGGACGTGCACTCGACGCGACACCTGCGCTCTCCCGCGCTGGTCCAAGTCCGAGGAGCGTCGATTCCGCCGGGCGGGAAGCCGGCGACGAGCGAGAAAATCCGAGCGAACGGGTCGATCGAGCCGGCGGACACGCGCGCGCGAGCGTCCACCAGTCGCGCTAAGGCTCGAAGACGGCGCGCGGCGCGAGAGGCGCGAGAGGCGCGAGAGGCGCTCGAGAGGCGGCCCCGAACGACGAGCGGCATTAGGCGGATTTAGTTCAATGCCGCGGCGTCGCTCCAGCCTCGGCGGGCGCTGATGCGGCAACAAGGGCGCACGGCTCGCTCGCGTCGGCGGATCCGGCGACGTAGAGCGCCGGCTGCCGGCAGCGCGGGCGCGCAGTCGCGGGCGGAGAGCCCACCGCTGCAGGCGCCGAGGCGAGCGGACGAGCGCGCGAGATGCGGCACGGCTGGCTGGCGGCGGCGGCGTGCGCGCTGGCCGCGCTGGCCGCCCAGCTGCGCGCCAGCTTCGTGCAGACCAAGGCGCCGCCCATCGAGGACCACTTCGCCGCGGACTGGGCGCTGGCGCGCGGCGCCGCGGCCGCCTACAGCCGCAACTTCAACCGGCAGCGCGAGTTCGCGTTCGCGGCCTGCCTGCCCAGCCACTGCAACGTGACGCTGCTGCTGGCCGACGCGGCGCGGCCGCGCTCGCGCACCTGCGAGCTGCTCGTCGGCCAGATCTCCTCGTACGGCAGCAGCGGCATCAGCTCGCTGCACCTGCCCGACGGCGGCGCGCGCAGCCAGCGCCTCGCGCTGGTCTGGTGGCGGCGCGTCGGCCAGGCGCGCGGCGCCTTCGTCAACTCGGTGAACATGAGCGACTGCCGCACCAGCATCGCCTTCCCGGTGGGCGGGGCGGGCGGCCGCGCGCCGCACGTGCTCGTCTACCGGCACCCCGTCTACTCGACCGTGGCGGCCGAGGCCGACTACCGCGTGGTCATGACGCACACCTTCTCGGGCGGCTGGATCCGCAACATCCACCACGTGGGCGTGAACCACTCGTGGACGGGCGAGGAGCAGCCGGTGGAGCTGGGCGCCTCGCGCGGCTTCTTCCTGCTCGGCTCCGACGACGAGGCGCCCGACCGGCGGCTCAGCGTCATCTACGCCAACGTGAGCAGCGGCTGGAAGTGGGTCATGGCCGAGATCCGCGGCCTGAACGACTCCGCGCACACCTACCCCAAGAGCTCGGGCGCCTACCGCAAGTACGGCCTCTGCTGGAAGAGCCTGGAGCGCGACGCGCGCGTCAACTGCTCGCAGTTCCTGCGCGACGGGCGCAAGGCCGTGCGCCAGGTCGGCCTGCGGCTGCCCGAGCCGGTCGACTGGCTGGCCGTGCACAACCTGCGCGAGCCCGCGCTGCTGCTCGTCACCGGCCAGTGCCACGGGCCCACCTGCGCCCAGTTCCGCGTGGCCAAGCTCCACGCCGACGGCCGGCTCAGCGCGCCCTTCGACGTGAAGACGCTCGACGCGCGCTGCCCGCGAGCCCCCGCCGACCTCTCCATGGACGTGGTCGAGGACCCGGAGCGCCAGCTCGTCTGCTTCCACTTCGTCTGCCTGGACCGGCGCGCCCCCCTGGCCGCGTGGGAGCCCGCCGCCGAGGAGCCGCCCGAGCTCGTGCTCCAGTACCGGCGCAACTGCGTCAAGAGGGCCGACGTCGACAGGATGTTCGAGTGACGGCGCTCGCCGAGCGCCTCCTTTATTCGCCGATCTTCAACGGATACATGTACGTCGCGGAATAAACTCGATCAGCCGCAATGCAAGTCGAAGGTCCTTTCGCCCGGCGACGCCGCATCCCCGCAGGTGGCGCCCTCCGCGCGCATGCCGAACGGCGCCTCGCGCCTCGTCCTCAGGTAGAACACGCCGCTCCTGGAACACCAATTGCCGGGCTGCAGTCGGCCGGTCGTTGCCGTCGCGAGTCGCGCCGACCCACGTACAGGCCCGTCGGCGCGGCGAGCCCCATCGGGGCTCTGGCGTTGGCGTCGCAGCTGCCGCGCGCGTAGGCGCCGTAGGAGGTGCAGTTGGTGGCCACGAATGCGCCCTCGTCCCGCAGGCTCTCGGCGTAGTACATCCACGAGCGGTGGTGGCTGCAGTAATCTGCGGGCAGGGGCGAAGGCGCTTAGCGAGCGCGAGCTGCGGCCTCGCGCGGCCTCGCGCTGTCGACACTTGCCTTCGGGGCTGCCGAGGTCGTACGCGGTCGGGCAGCCGGGCTGCACGCGTCTGCCCCCGTTCGGAAAGAAACTGGCGGCGCCGGAGGGCCGATTGATCCCGTACAGGCCCGCGTCCGTGTGGATGGTGTCCACGAACCGGGCGTCGTCGCGCGAGAGGTGCGGCTGGATCAGGTTGAACAGCGGTCCCGCCGGGTCCAGGCCTGCGGTCACACGCCACGCCGCGCGTCAGAGTCCGCGAGGGAGGAGGGCACGGGGGCCGAGCCGACTCGCGCGCTCACCCGTGATCCGGCTGAGCTGGAAGCTGGCGTGGCGGCCGAGCTGTCCGGCCACCTGGGCGCCCATCGAGTGTCCGACCACGTGTATCGTCCGCGGCGGCAGGCCCTTGCCGACCATCTCGTCGACGGCCCCGGCGAGAGCGCGGCCCACCAGCCTGGCGCTGCCCGCCACGCTCGGATAGCTCTGCCCGGCCAGTCGCCTCCAGTCCGTGGCTATCACGTTGTGGTCCCCTCGCTCCGCGTACGCTAAGCACCGCGCGCTCTCAGCTCTCGTCCAATGCGCCAGCTCGACTGCCGCGGCCGCGCTCGGCTTACCTGCGACTACGGCGCGCGTGTCTCTGCTGTCGATGCTGCCCGTGTAGCCGTGCACGTAAATGACGGTCGGCTTGCTGACGTTCATCCACCTCAGCAGATCTCCGGCTTGGCGCAGCGGCGCGTCGGCGAACCGGCTGGCGTCGTAGCTGAAAATCCGCGGGACGTGGGTAAGCTCGGCTCGAGACTCGCCGCGCGATCGAGGATTACCCGCTGTACAGTCGTAGAAAAACGCTCGCCAGGTCATCGCCGCGGTCGTCGCCCGAGGCCGCGCCTGAAACTGATCGCGGAGCGTAACGCGACTCACGACGATGGGCACGAGTGCCGGCGAGGAGGAGCGGCAGCAGCAGCAGCAGCAGCAGGAAGATCCTAGGCATCGTTCCGGACGCGACTGAGATTTAGGCAGGTGCGCGGGTCGATCGCGGTCGCTCGGACAGCGGGGCGGAGTCACGTCCTTATCGGGCGCGACGGGTCAGTCATGGGTGGCGGCACGTACGCGCGCGCGGATCCGCGTGCTCGAGCCGCCGGTGGTCTGGCTCTTCTCGGCCTAGCGCGCCGTGACTATGATAGCCCGCGCGCGATAAATATGCATAGCGAGACCGAACATACGTACACTGGTCGACTTAGATTAGTAGCGCTCTCGAGCTGCGGAACTTGCGCTTCGGCTATCTCCGCCGGCTCGCTGAAATTATCAAAAGTCGCCGAACTGCGCGTCGATGCGAGCGACGATCGCAGAATTTTTAACGAACCGTCGATTGCGAGCCGCCAACGTGACTCTCCTGCACAAGCGACTAGTCGAGTTTCCTTGGTGGAGTTTTTATCGCCGGCGGCGTTTCAACGACATCTATCCGAGCTGCAACTGGAAGGCGATTTGTTCGGCGATTCGAGAAAATAATGACGAGCATGGCTCGATCCGGACGTTCTCGCGTTCTCGCGTTGCGCAAAGATAACCGGTTATCTGGCTGCGCTGTCGCTCGTGTAACGTTTCACGCGGCGATAAACGCAGCATCGTTCCAAACGTTTCATTGCCAGACATCGAAAGCCGATCGTCTTCGCGCGACAGAGAGCCGCGTTTCCTCTGCTCCATAGTCGTTTTCTCCTATATTCGGACAAGTTGTCCCGAGTGTCTTTGACGAGCGTCAACGTTACATACTCACGGCGCTAATTTTGCTTATTTTCCAGCGGGCGAAAAATGTCGGAGGCACGACGACGGTCGTTCTCCGCGTGGCTGTGGTCGATCGCATTGTTCGCGGGCGCCAGTGGCTTCAGCCTCAACCAGCCGTCGCAGAACATCTCGAAACCGCTCGCCGATTACCATATCATTGCTCCAGAATTGTCCCGCAATCACAGCCTGGCTATCGCCTACGTGGAGAGAGCCGACGGTCCGCCGGGCGGCGTGAAAATCTACGCGGCGATAATCGGGGAGAACAGCCGGAGGCGCTCTCAGTGCTCGATAGACTTGAGCCCCGAGGGCGACGCGGTCGGGCTCCGCGTGAGCTCGCTGAAGCGGCTGGGCGCCGGCCGAGTGCTGCTCACGGCGCGGAGCTCGCTGCCGAGCGGCGACAGCCAGTCGAGGCTCGTCCACGTCGATCTCCAGGACTGCAAGTCCACGAGCCTGCCGCGGCTCAGAGATCACCTCGTCGTCGTCACGCATCACGACAGCGACCAGTTCGACGTGCTGATCTCCGACCGACGCGCCTGCTACAGCGCCAACGGCAGATGCAGGCTCAGCTACGACGGCCTCAACGGCACCCTGAGGCCGTTCGACGTCGACCTGGATTGGGAGAGCATGCGCGTCGAGTACACGCCGTCGAGGGACTTGTTGATCGGCGGCCTCGACGCGGTCGGCGTTTTCAAGTTCACTCTGCTCGACCGAACCCTCGGCTCGCGCAGGGATCTGCTGGCGATACCCAACGCCAGGGGCATGGAGTTCGCCACGTCGCAGTTCTCGGTGTGCTGGATAGAGAGGCCCGGCCGAGACAGCTCGGTCCAGTGCTCGCAGTTCGACGAGGACGGCCGAGTGCTGTTCCGCCGGAGCGTCACCTACAGGCAGCCCGTCACCCTCGTGGCTCTGCAGTCGCTGGCCTGGAACCGGATTCTCCTGCTGGCGGGCAAGGCTCGCTGCGAAGGCGACTGGGACTGCTGGAACCTCTACGTCACTCAGGTGCAGCCCGAAATGAAAGTATGGTCCACCCAGTACACCGAGCACTTCGATTGCTCTACCGCTGATCGGCGACTGGTGTTCGCGGCTCGGCAGCTCGACGATTCCGTGCTTGCCGAGTACGTCTGCGACAACGGCAAGCATTTCGCTTACAAGCATTATGTTATCGACACTACTGACCAATAAATAACGGAGAACAACTGTCCGAGCTTCTGCGTTCATTTCGTTCATTTTATTCCTGACATGTCCGTTCAGTTATTTATTTCGTCGTTTGAACTTGGCACGAACGTGCGTATCGAACGAGCGATCGCAGCCTCGGTGATAACTCATATTCCAATGTGCGGGCTTGCAAGCAACTGTTTTCACCCTTTTCCGTCGGACGTCCATCTGAAAAATGCCAGCGGATGTCATTGAAAATGCTCTTGTAATGACATTCTTTGTTCAAGCTGAAACATCCGCTGAAACTTATTGATTAGCCACAAAATAATTCGAGATTAAGGACAAACCGAGATTCCGGTTGCAATCACGCGTCAACTTCGGATTGCCCGAAGACGTGAGATTTTGCTTAGTAAGTATTAATTATCGAATACAGTTAGTTATCTAGGAATACGATTCGCGTGTCGATTTCGGAAACGCTGCTGGTTGCCCGAAGAGCTCACTGCTCGGATGACGTTCGTCTCGAAGACGTCGTCGATGAAACAGCCCCGACGGACGCGACGTCGATCGCTACCCCGCGAAACTCGGGTGCGCCAAAGGCGACCTCTTGCCGAAAGTAAATGCGAACAAAAATTGGTCATCGATCGCGTTCGCGAGCTCGCCGGTGGATCTACTCGCAGCTGGCCATCCGCAACGGCTTTATCGTCGCGATACCGACTTTGTACTTTCCGCAGTAAGCGAGCTATCGTGCACTCGCGAACTCGCTGGCTCTGGAGCGTTCGTGCCCAAGCCGGAGCGCATCGGAAGGAGATAAGAAGTTATCAATTTCCTTCGCGCGACGACGCGCACGCCGGAATCTGCCGGAATCTGCCGGAACCTGCCGGAACCTGCCGGAATCGGCTAGAAAGAAGCCCGACCGAGCAGTCGCAGCCGGTGGACCGTCGAGCGGCGGTCGAGCACGGGGACGATGGCGTCGCGCCGGAGTTGGCTGGCGTGGCTGGCGCTGTGCGCGTGGGCGACGAGCGCCGCGGCCCTGAGCATCGGCCAGTCCAAGTTCCGAGTGGCCAAGTCGCCGAGCGCCCGCTACATCGTCGCCCCGGAGCTGCTGCGCCACGAGAGCTTCGCGTTCGCGAGGATCGAGGCGGCCGGCGAGCGGCCGGGCGAGCTCGGCGTGGAGGTGTCGATCGTCAACCGGACGTCCGCGAGGCGGTGCTCGGTGAGGCTGACACCCGCGGCGCGGGCGGCGAGCGCGGGCGTGACCGCGATCAGGCGGCTGGCCTGGGGCCGAGTGCTGATCGTGGCGCACGACGAGCTGCCGGGCGGCGAGCGCGAGGTGGTGCCGCTGCTGCTCAACTTCGAGGAGTGCCTGTTCGTCCTGCCGTACTCGCGAGTCCTGCCCAAGCGCCACGCCATCTTCACGACCAACAGCGTGCGGGACGACCGCAACCGGTTCGTCATCGTGGCCGCCGACCGGACGTTCTGCTCGCCGCACAACAGCTGCGCGGTCGTGGTCGCGATCAACCTGCCGTTCAGCGAGCTCGAGGGCTTCGACGTGGCGGAGCCTCTCTCACCGGAGACCGCCCGCATCGAGCCGCTCTCGGTGTCGTACGACCGACACCTGTTCGCGGTGCAGGGCCTCGACGCCGCGGGCGCCTACAGCTGCGCGCTCTACGACACGCGCGGGGGCTCCGGCCGGCGCACGCAGCTGCTCTCGCTGCCCGACGCCGGCGCGGCGCAGATAGTCTCCTCCAAGCTGGCCGTCTGCTGGATCGAGCGCCCGGCAACGGACGCCGTCGTGCACTGCTCCAAGTTCAGCGGCAACGGCAGCCTGGCATTCCGGCGCAGCGTGCGTTACGAGCAGCCGGTGACCATCTCCTTCGTGGAGAGCACCTTCCTCGGCCTGCTGCTGTTCGCCAGCAAGTGGCACTGCGAAGGCCTCGACTGCTGGACCGTCTTCGTCAGCTCCATGTCGGAGGACGACCGGCCCGAGCCGCAGGGCTACCACGCCGCGAGGCTCGCCTGCACGGGAGACCGGGAGCGACTGCTGGTCTTCAAGGCTCGCAAGGACGTCGGCTCGATTCAGGCCGAGTACGTCTGCGACAACGGCCACGAGTTCACCTTCAACGTCGTCGGCGTCGCCGATCAGCAGTAGGTCATAGCGGTTCGGCCACCGACCGCCCGATGAGAAGAGGACCACACCAATCGCGAGCTCTATGCCCTTGACGAACACCTGGCTTTGTTGTCGTGGCTGGTCGAGACTGACGAGCGCAACTGTTTCGGGAAAATAAGAATCGTCGATGTGGCAGCCTGCCGATTCGCAGATCTAGTTGTGCCTGCCAATTACGTTCCTTACCTGATTGCTTCGTTCGAGGAGCTTCGACGTGTTCTTAGCTAACGAGACCCACTGCGCGAGAGCTGCGTTTTGCAGGCTCACCTACGCGACGCATCCACGGTGATGGATAAAGATCAACGGACTCGTCCACGACCGAGGCAGCTGCAATGGTAGCTCATCGTTTGCGTCCCGAGCAGTCGAGCGGACGTCGCATGCTTGCGCTACGATGATCGCGCGAATCTCGAAATGAACGTGACTTTCAGGCACACCGACGAAAAGTCGCACGTCTGGCTGCAACCTTCCAACTTGAGGCGTGGAGTGGTGCTAGCTGCCGCGAGCACGCTGAGCAACGCAGAGCCTAAGCGCGATACGACAGATTTAGCATCGTTGAGTTTCATAAGAACCAGCGGACGAGGAGGCCGCTAGAGACTTCGGGATTGAACCTCGAATGCAACCTCGGCACGTCGGCGTGTCTGAAACGGACTCCAATGACGTGTGCTTCCGTTTCATTTGCGACCGTTTGAATCAACTGCAGCACTCGCGCGACAGCAGTAGTATGGAATGCGCCACGAAATATTTTCCAATGTATTTTCCTTGTGTAGCGGAATAATTCAATAAAGCATCATCAGCACAAGTAGCGTTTTTATTATGTCGGCAATTGTCGCGACATTTTTATAAAATTACGCTCTTCTCAAGCATAAGATCGAAGAGATAGCTGTTCAGTAAGGCGGTTATTTTTATCTTGTAACTATATCAACTTATTTTCAATCAATTGCTTATAATAAAATTCACCGCGATCAATTATATCGATGAAATATCGAATTACTTAAACTAATAAAGAACCTCGTTTATTTATTTGATTGCGGAGTGATATTTAACGAGACTCAACGTGAGCGATGGCGAAGAGCGTCGATGAGGTTGCCTCAGCAGCACATTTAACGCTAAAGAAATGCCAGTCGCCAATGGCGTCGATGGAAACTCCGTTTGAAGCGATTACGCAAAAAGGGTATATCGACAATGCAGGAGTAGGTCAGCGCGGCTGCATTAGCCGACAGAAATATTCAGATAAAGAGGCTGGCGATAGTGACTCGTCAGCGATCGGCCAAGAAGCACGCGAGCAACGAGTAATTTCGCCAACGCGTAAGCACTGCGCCGTGAGTACGAACCACTTGGCACTCGGCAGGTACGAGCTCCGCCTCTGTCTCGCAGCCGACACGATGAGCCGCCGCCGCCGCCGCTCCCCGCTGGTGCTGGTCCTCTGCTGCTGGTGCGCCGTCGGCGGCAGCGGGCGTCGCTTGCCGGAGGTGTCCAGCTTCGCGAAGGAGATCGTCATCCCGGAGGAGCAGGTGGCGCAGCGCGTGTGGCCGCCGGTCACCGAGGGCGGCAGCTTCGTGTACGCTACGTGCGACGCGAGCGACCCGGTGTACTTCCGCGAGAAGCGCTGCAACGTCAGCGTGGAGACGCCGGCGCTGTCCGGCGCGACCTTCAGGGACAGCTGTCCGGTGGTGGTGGCGCCGGACGGCGCGGGCCAGGAGGCGCTCTCCCACCTGCGCGTGCTGCCGTTCGGCGACGAGAGGGTGGTGCTGTCGTGGCTGCAGGCCGAGTGGCTGGGCGGCACTCCCACGGCGAAGCTCAAGATTCTGGACATGTCCAGCTGCAGCTCCGTCGACCTCGCTCTGCCCTCGGATGCCGTTCCCTTCGTCGTGTCGTACGGCGGGACCACCATGGACGTCGGCCTGCGCAGCGACGTCTACTGCGGCGCGACCGTGTGCAAGCTCAGGCTGAACGCCTCCGGGGAGATCGTCGACGGTCCCAGCGCGATCTTCGACGACGTCGACCTGCTGTTCTACTACGCGCTGACGCCGGTGCCCGCCGACTCCGAGGACGACGGCTTTTACCTGTCCGCCGCCTACAAGGATCGAGAAGCGCTCCGCGAGCACGTGTTCAAGGTGGCGGCCGACGGCAGCAAGACGGAGCTGATGTCGTTCTCGCCGGGACACTACAGCAGCTACTCGACCAGCCGGCGCATGCTCAGCGTCTGCACGTCCACGGGCAACACCACCGTCACCTGCTATCAGCACTACTCGGCGCTGAACCTGCTGACCAACAGGAGCCTCGAGTTCGAGGACGGCCCGCTGCAGCGCTGGTTCCAGCCTCACAACTTGAGGGACGGCGGCATGCTCCTCGCGACCGGACGTGCGAGCGACGAGCAGGCCCGGCGCTACGACAGCTTCAGCGTGATCAAGCTGTCCGCGAACGGGCGCAAGAGCCGTCCGCTCACCGTCCACGGCCTGGACTTCGCTTGCCGCCGCCTCGAGGCTCTGCTCGTCGTCGTGTCGGAGAGCGAGCACGACGACGACGTCTGCTTCAACTTCAGCTGCAGTCGCGGCGACGCCCTCAGGTTCGCGAGCAAGTGCCTGCCGAGGTCTCGCGTGGTCATGTCGCCGCGCAGCCCGGCGGTCGTCAACTGAACGTCGCCGTACTTTTAAGTGCTCGGCGATCTTCGAAAGTTTGCAGTCCTCGGCGCGCCCGTCGACGAGGTGCAGGCATGTCAGCAGCGTCGCTGGCGGTATTGTCGTTGTGCGCGCTCGGCGGCGCGGCGGTCGAGTGCCGGCAGCTGCCGCTCGTTACTGGATTCGAGAAAAGCATCAACGTCAGCGGGAGATCCGCCGTGGCAGCTTACCCCGCTGTCACCGAGAACGAGAGCCTCGTTTACGCCGTCTGCGATCGGACGGCGTCACTGTACACGCGCAAGTCCTGCGACGTCAGCGTGGAGACGCCTGTCTTCGTGAACGCGTCCTTCAAGGACACCTGCCCCGTCCGCTTTGCAGCCGACGATGCCAGGCACAACGTGCTGTCGCGGCTGGTCGTGTACTCGTTTGGAGACGACAAGGTCTTGTTTTTCTGGAGGCAAGACGATCACCGCGACAACTCGAGCCGAACGAAGCTCAGGCTGCTGAAGATGCCGCTTTGCGAGACCGTGGACTTGCCGATTGCCGCCAGCGGAGTGGCCTTCGTCGTAATTTACAGGGCCAGCTTGGAATTAGGCTTGCTCGACGAGAAATACTGCCACTCGCGGTCCTGTAAGATCACGTTGAACGACGACGGCCGATTGATCGACGGCCCAACAAAAATTTTAATGGACGTGGAATTCGAGTTCATCTACAGTCTAGCGCCGGTGTCTCATCTCTCTCCAAACGAAGGTTTTTACGTTTCGGTTGTTCCCGGAGCGAAGGAATCGCGACTGGAGCCGAGGCGCCGTCACCGTTTGTTCAAAGTCTACTGGGACGGCGTGGCTACCGAGCTTACGGACATGTCCGTCGAGAAGTACAGCAGCTTTTCCAACGCGTACGGCTACTTCACCAGCTGCGAGTCGAGCGGCAACACGACGATCAATTGCCGCCAGTACGACGCGTCGATGAATCTGAAAACGAACGCCACCGTCTCGTTTTTGGATTACGGCTTGAACCGATGGATGCAACCGCACAATCTGCAGGACGGCAGCCTGCTGCTGGTCACTGGTGCCGAGAGCAGCTTCAACAGTGGACGCTACAAAAAGTTCCAGCTGATAATGCTGTACGTTACGAAGCAGAGACCGTTGGTGGTCGAAGGACTCAACGTCAAGTGTAAACCCATCGGATGTTTGCGTGTCTACGTGTTAGAAAACGACATCGATGAGATTTGCTTTTACTTCGTTTGCGATCGAGGTGACCATCGTCGAAGCGAACTTAAATACTCTGTCAAGTGTTTGCCGAAGACTTATCTCAATGTGCTCGAGCGAAGACCAGCTGTTGCAAGTTAATTACCACGATTGTTCGCATTTTTATAGTCATTTCAAAAATTCTTTACTCATACCAGTGTAGCATTAATAAATCTACAAAAATTCCATATTTATTATTTCGCCATTTCGACATACATGACGATTAACTAGCAAGTACAGGAAAAATTCTGAAATAATGACATTTGCAATAGATTCCGTTGAGTATACGTCACCTTTTGCCGCCTAATTTAAGAAGTATCCAAATTCGTAAAAAATAGCTCTTCATAAATTACCGCAAGGCAAACCAGAACGTCTTCTCTATCAGAAATTATCTCAAGTTTCACAAATATCCATTCTATACTAAGAAATAATCAAGGTTCTATTTGCGATTACAATGTTTTTCTCTTAATCTCAATCGTTTATCCGCTAAGCGTTGCGTAAATTCAAGCATCTTTATCAACAGTTCTCAACTGCCTCGTGCTGAACGGATTTTCAAAGATTTTCTCTCGATCCGTAGGTATCGCATTGAATACGAGTACAACTTTTTTTGTCTGTTACGCTGTACGGGTAAACCCTGCTGTTACTCAAACGTGTTTTATCATTATTTTCATCTCAATTTTATTACGTAAGTCTACAGACTCATATTTTTTTGAGCAATCTTTACGTCAAACACTTATGTTTTTCTAGTATAATGTCGGCAGTTCTATCGTTTCTATTATTTGCCATATCCAACACTTTGACAAGCAGCCGTGAGCTACCAACCATTTCAAGCTTATACAGAGAGATCGTCGTCAGAGAAAAAGCTGTAATACCGTCGCAACCAGCTGTCACAGAAAGTGGAAGTATCATTTATGCAATCTGCAACCGTACGGACTATCATTTTTCCACAAACAAGTATTGTAACGTCACTGTTGAAAGGTCCCATTTTTCCGGTAGTCCTCGTGTTAACAGTTGCCTGGTGCGCGTCGCTCCCGACGAGGCTTACTTTCAAACTCTTTCTCGGTTTACAATGCTCACTTTCACTGACAACAAACTTATATTTTTCTGGGAACAAGAAGATGAGAGGTTTTCTACAAAGTCGATTGTATTCAGAATCTTGAAATTGCCGAAATGTGAGTTGATTAACGTTACAATACCAACTGATCAACTGTCCTACGTAGTTGTTTACAAGAATAATTTCGACTTGATATTGTCGGATAAGAAATATTGCGGTTCCCCTAGTTGCAAAATTACGTTAGACGAAGGTGGGAGACGAGTACATTTGGATCCAATAAAAATTTTAACAGACATCGACGTTGCCTTCCAATCTGGCCTAGGAGCGGTGGTACCCAGATCGCCGCACAAGGGATTTTACTCTTCGGTTGCTGTGAGTGGCGAGCGGAATGTGGGAAAAAGCTACGAGCATTTGCTTCGAGTAGACCGCGACGGCAGAGCAGTCGCGTTTGATAAGATTTTCACGGACAGCCACGTTAGTTTTTCGAACAGCCACGAATATTTCAGCCTGTGCGAGCGTACCGAGGCCACGGCGATCTACTGTCGGCAGTACGACGCGACCTTGACATTGAAGATCAATGAAACTTTCGAGCTCCAAGGGGCAGCTGGGCTCAATCGCTGGATGCAACCTTACAATTTCGAAGACGGCAGTTTACTTCTCGTCGTCGGTGTGACAGCTGACGTGGAGGGCAGACATTACAACAACTTTGAAGCGATAAAGGTGGATCCGGACGGTCATAGAGATAGAGCGCTCGTAGTGGAAGGTCTCGATCTGAAGTGCAAGAGGAGCGAGGTGTTACGTGTTTATACGATTGAAAATGAATTGGATGACGTTTGCTTCTACTTCGTGTGTCGACAGGGTGACGAGTACCGACGGAAACTCAAATTTTCCGTCAAGTGCTTGCCCATAACTATTTTTACAATGGTCAGGCGTCGTCCCGCAATCGTAAGCTGATAACGCATTGTAATGTAGAAAAGCTCGACGAACCGCAGATTAGGTGATCGAGCGCGTCGAGCAAAATGGATGTACAAGCGAAAAAATGAAAAGGTCCACTCGATACTTTGGCAAGAGTAGGTTTTTATGTTAGAAATCGTCTCGGCGCGCCGTTGACGAGTGTGCGCTTTATCGGCGCTACACGGCATTGTTTGCCAGCAAATCATCGTCGTACGCTCCGAGTGTTTAGGCGAAGCCGCCGAAGCGAAAGCCTATTCCAGGAAGCACCTGGACAGAAAGCTTATCGACTGGTCGGCTCCGCCGACTGCAACGTCGTGACACGCGACCGTCGCGCAAACCCGGTCGTCCTCCCTCTGGACGACCTCGCTGCTGATCGCTACGGCACTGCCGCATTCGAGCCCCGACAGCTGGTACAAGTCCACAGCCCTGTTCAGATCGACCGGCTTCCTCAGCACGTGGAACTTGACGTGGCCGCCGGTGCACGAGTCGAGCCCAGAGCACTCGTTCGTCATGATCAGCAGGTCGTGCGGACCGAGATTCCTCATTGCCATCCACGTGCCCGGGTCGTAATTCAGATTCTCCACGGCCGACAAAATTCTTCGGCCTGCGCGGTTGAACTGCTCGCAATTGACGATGCGCTTGGTGTGGGTCAGCCAGCAGTAGCCTGTAACGTGCGTTTCATTTTCGAAATTAGTGCCCGTTCGACGAAGCGCTTCGTTGCAAATGGTGTCGTACCCAGGTACTCCCTGCTGCAGTCGTAAGTGGCCACTCGAGCGTCGAACGGCACCGCTCCCATTTCAATTTTTTTGCCGTAGTACGAGCTGACCAAATTGAACGTGTTCGGCGTGATGACGAAGTGGCCTTTCGACGCAGCGTCGGCTTTTACCGAGCACATACGGGTGCTATTGTAGAAGTACTCGCTGGGCAAATAAGAGGTTGCCGGCCCGTTTATTACTCGTGATCTCCGATCAAAAGTCTTGCCGCACAGGAAATTCCCGCAGTACTGTTTGTCACGGTAGTACACGTCGAAGGTCTGCTCGTAAACCACGATATGGAATTGTTCGATCTGGGTTTGGAACTCGTGGTCGGTCCTCTCGCAGCTGCTCATGTTGACTATACTCAGAACCAGGCGTTTCTTGTCAGTGTCGTCTTGGTCTTCGTCGGCCCAGACGAACGCCACGTAGTCGCCGAACAGCCTTCTCAACTGGAATTCTTTGGTAATGTTGCGAACCTTGTCCGCGACGAGGTAATTGCCCGGACAGGTCGACTCACCGATGATCTTGGCGTCGGGGAAGGAGAACAGCGTTATGGAGCAGTTCAATTCCTTGCGAAATTCTCCGACTATGCAGGCCGAGTAAACGAGGCTGTTGTCCTTGACCGAGCGCTCGTCGAGCACTATCTCGTAATCGCTGCTGTACGAGTACTTCATTTTTAGAGTGCTCGAGCCTGCGTAACGACTACCCAGGCAGAGCAGTCCGATCATCCAGACGAGCGACCTCATTTCTTAAACTAATGCATGCAATAGCCCAATTACAATGACTACTTTTGCTCAATTGAGAAATGACCGCCAAAAATCTGCCTGAACTTTGGTTAATTTAGACGTGCCAATTGTGCCGACGCTGACGCATTAAGAATAACCACCGATCAAGTACAATTTTAACGAACGATTGCTCTCCTCGCGAAGCTGCTGCGACAAAGAAAATCGATATAACGACTGTCCCGTACACCCAGCCACTAGACGAAGACGCACTTTCACGAAGATTCAACTTTACAGCGCGTCTCGCCTAGTGTAAAAATCCCGAACAACTAATCGCTGACACGCAGACTCGTCCGACTATGTATCTACGCGGCAACGCGGGCGCTGAGGAGGGATGACAGTTACGAAAATGCGTAATCTGCCGGAGACGTCGCTGACCTCCATATTCCGGTCTAGCGAAATACGCGCGCGCGCCACGGGGAGGTGAAAATAACGATCGGCCGCTTGGGAAAAATTATTGAAGCTTTTCAATTTTAATAATTAGCGCGCACGATAGCACAACGTAAGGCAGTGCTAAACAACAACCCTGTTACGCAACGCTCCGCTCCGATAGCGGACCGTTCCAAAGATTCCAAAGAGCGGAACGGGCGTAGACACACCGAGTGCGAACGTCAAATAATTAGCTGTGAATCAGATCGTTCGTGGGCTTTCAACGACATTCGCTGGTTCGTTGAACCGCGCGATAATATATGTCTTCTCTTTATTTATGCTTGCCGAAAATTAGATTTTTCTTTTTATTAAAAGAACGTGTACAATAGGATCAAAAAAAAAAAAAAGTCGTAGATATCCGAGCTTATTTGAAGCTCTTATCGTCGAAGCAGTTGGCAAAAGTCAGCAGGTCCGGCGATTCGGCAGTCGGCGAGATGCTGTATCTCGCCATGGAGACGCAGTACAGTTTGTCATCTTTCTCGAAGAGCTGAGCATTGACGAGGTTCGACAGGCGCTCGCGATGGAATCCCGTAAGATGCACTTCTCCAGCTTTACGTCCTTGCGCGTCGAATTTGGTTACGTAGTAGTGGTCGTCGTTCATCGCGCAGATCGATTCGCAGCGACTCGTCAGCAGGAGAAATCCGCCGTCGCGCAGATTGTGCATAGCCGCTTGCTCGACGTCGTAGCCAAAGTCGGGATTGGATCGTAGCTTTGGCTGGCCCTCGTGGTCGTATCGCGCGCAGCTGAAGCTCGAGTTCGAGTGGTAGCAGAGGCCGATGGTCGAGTGGGCCGTCGAGTGGACGAGCTTCCACGAGCGCTGGGCGTCCAGCTCGGACGGGAATTTCATTATTTGACCTGCGTTGAGAAATTTCTCTCGTTCAGAAGGCCGAGATTTTTCGAGAGACTTGGCGAGTCAGCAATGAAGGAAGCGTATGGAACTTGCATCCGACCAAGATGAATCAATGAAAACTGCCACTCTCGAAGAGAGGAGATGAGAGTTACGCGGACGCCAGCAGCGAAGTAACGTTTCCACTCACCGTCGCGTTTGACAACGTAGGCCTGCGGCACGTTGACGAACGTGCCTTCGACAACCAGATGACCTTTCTCCTGCGAATGCTGCGCTAGGGGCACGACCTCGACGAGACCCGACTCGGGTGTGAACCACTTGTCGGGGGCTTCGGTCTCGCCAGCCTCGGGATCGACGTGCAGCTTGCAGACGTTTTTCCCTCCGCAAAGCGAGTCGTTGGAGAAGACCAAGCAGTAGGTGCTGTCGCTGTACGTTGCCATCCGAACGCGTTCGAGGTACGAGTCGGGATTCACCTCGTCATCCTTTCGCGCGTACGACAATTTGGCTTCGGTGCTCCGGCACTCCGGATATTTGACGGTGGTATACCTCACGAGTGTTGTCTCTCTGCTCCGGCTCTCCTTCCTGTCGCTCTCCGTCCAAATGAAAATCGCGCGATCCAGACCCAAAGGCACGACCTTCATCCTCGGGCCGATCAGGCGCTCGGCTTTTTCAGCCTTGAGGGTCACCTCGCAGGATACGGCTCTCAACGTGCCGTTCAAAGCGTCGTCCTCGCGCACCACCGTGCACCTCTTCTCCGACTGACCCTCGGCCAGGTCGCACGTCGCGTACGACAACGTTGTATTCTCGAAGGAGTCCCGTCCGAAGACCAGCTGCTTGCCGGGAAAGTGGCGCGACCTGCTCGAGCCATCGTGCGCGCTGACCAAGTCCAAGAGCAGCACTAGGAGCGCGCTCGCCGCTTTCGCCGTCGACAGCATGCGTTCACCTGCAATGAGTTCAACCACATCGACGGGTACGATCTCGCAAAAGCACGGTGTACGACATTCGCAGCTTGGATACCTTACGAATCTTCCCTCTCCAATGGACAAAGAGAGACTGGCGACTTTCGCGCCGCCCAAATTTCTATTTATGTATGAGCCACGCGGACTTGGAGACGCCGGAATATTTGGAGGCTCGATTGAAAAATTGCCACGCTGCAAATAACCACGGCTTATTTCGTTGATCTCCAACAGTGGTAACGAGCGGTAATTGTGCGCCTGTGATTGGGGATCTGCGGGGTTCCCAGCCTTGACGAACGCGTAGGAACTTTTGTCGCAGCTTGAACGCGATGTCGTAATTACGCGAGCCGCAAGAGTGCGAATTCAATCGGGAAAAGAAAGGAATATGAAATACGGAAAGCTAATGTATTTTTTCCTTGCAAATCATTCGGTACATAAAAAGGAATGGTGGCAGCGTACATCTAGACGGTGAAAGTCTTGACGGCCAACTCGCGATCGGAAAAGCACTGCGTGACAACGCTGCGGTTCGACTGCTGCGAGCCGAAGACCCGGCTGCAAACGTCGGTCAGGCAGTACTCCCTGTGCTCGTTCTCGAACATGCTGGTCCTCAGGTGAGCCGGCGCGCAGTCGCAGTTGGCGGGCGAGCGATCGATCGCGAAGAAGACCGCGTTGTCCACGGAGATCTTCATCAGGCGCTGGGCGTTGCCGCGACGCTCGCACTCCGCCGCCGAGCGCTTGGACAGAGCGAGCAGGTAGCCGCCGTCGGAGAGGTTGAACGCGTCGCTGATCCGCGCCCCGTCAACGAGCCGCAGCCGGGTCTCCTGCATCTTGCGGCCGGACAGCATGCTGAACCGCGTGCAGTTGGCGAGGGTCGTGCCGGCGTCGAGCCTCTGCTGGTGGCAGATGGTGATGGTGTCGTGAGTGGTGGACACGGCGAAGCGCCGCGCGGGCAGCCGCCGCGAGTAGCTGGCGAAGCGCACGAGCTCGTCGTCGGCGCCGACGAACCAGGCGTCGATGCTGCGCTCGAGGCTCGGCAGCAGCAGCACGTAGCCCTTGGGCCGGGAGCCGTAGGGCTCGATGGGGTAGTAGGCGGTGTAGAAGGGCGGCGACGGGTCGTGGACGAGGCAGACCGGCCGGCCGAGGGCCTCGCCGCTGGCGGCGTCGAACGAGCGCTTGCAGTACCTGCGGCTGGCCTCCTCGACGTAGAACACGTCGAACGAGGCGTCGTAGGTGGCGACGCTGACGCCCCACGCCACGTAGGAATCGTCGTTGCCGATCGTCGCGAGCCTCGCCTCGCACGTCGCCGCGCACGTGGCGAGCGCGACCACGCGCAGCCCGACCGCGCGCCCGCCGTCCGCGCCGCTCTGCGACCAGATCACGATCGCCCGGTCGCTGCCGTACGGCACTGCCCGCGAGACGCGGCCCACGCTGCCGCCGTCCGCGCGCAGGCTGGTGCTGCACGACCGGCCGAACCTGGAGAGCACGCAGACGGCCTCGGAGGCGCGCGGCCGCTCCCGGCGGCACGCCACGCTCGGCGCGGTCACGTTGTCCGCGAGCTCCCGCTCGAACTGCTCGCGATGCTTCTGCGCGCCGGCCAGGCAGACCGAAGACCAGGCCAGCGAAACCGCCACCACCAGCAGCGGCGGCGCGACCGAGCGCATGCTCGCGGTGCCGACGACGCGCCCCGGGGGGGTAGCTCAAGCCCGAAGGCTCGCCTCGCGCATGGCGAGCTTGGATAGCGGCGCGCGCGAACCGATCTGCTTCTACGTCGAAGCTCGACTAAACAAGGAAGCTGGATAGGGGCTTTATATTTTTCGAGCTGTCGAGATCGTATCTCTCAATTAAAAGTGTGTGCACAAGGCGCTGGGAATTGCCCGAATAACGGGCATCCGTTCGGCCGGCTGTTACCCTCACCGGCGTGCTCGAGACGGCTTCTCGCGCACTCGGCCAGCGAGAGCTCGCCCGCCGATTTCTTTTCGTCGGAAACTCGCTCCGCCGGTGCTCGGCGCCGTTGGAATCGTTCGCGTGGCCGAGTGCCGACCTAGCGGGGGGAGGCCGCTCCTCGCGCACGTGGCTGTCAGCGATTAGCCGTCGCGACAAAGAAACTCGGCTCTCGAACGCAGTACACAAGTGCGGACGTCGGAGGACAAGCCGATAACCGCGCGTTAATTTTTCTTCTCGGGCAAGCGGGAGGCTGAATTGTATAACAAGCATCATCCTTCCTTCTGTCTCAAAAAAAGAGACTTTTGAAAAGTGAAACCTCTATTCGTCGTGATTGACCAGTCGAGCTCGGAGATCTTGACATTTTATTGGTTTGCCGATTCGACGTAACGAGATGTTGAAACAAACTATCGGAACGATTCGGTCGAACAATTTCTTTTTGGCGATAAACGAATTAACAACGATACTTTCATTCGTCAACTTTTCGTTGAACGGGAACTTACTCAAATGAATGATAAATTTGAACAAGTTGGAAGTAATTTCTCAAATTGATTGCTATCGAAGATCATCTTGTAAAGCCGATATGTGGCAATTCAGCGCACGCATCGACGCTACAAGCGATCCGCGCGTCAAGGAATCTTCTGCGCATTACTACGTTTTAGCATGCTGCTGGTCGTGAATTTCGCCGAAATTCGGCGAAAATAACGTCTGATCGTGCCGACACACTGGTGACGATCGCGTCTCGCCACAAGCGATTGCAATTTTACCAATTAGATATCGAATAAAATATTTGCCCGTTTTCCTCGAGCCGATTCATTGTGCCGTTTGTTGCGAACGTTCAAAAGCCGCACAAACGTCAGTGTTTGTACGAACGAAGCGTAAACTCGATAGTCGTTCGTTGTCTATAACTTCACTTCGAGCGAAAAAATGCAGAGCGTCACGAACTCAATCGAGCTCAGTGGCTTTAAGTGGGGCAGCTAAATGAGGAAGCTGTGCTTGATTTTTATTAGGGGTCAGCTACGATCTGGAAGTTGTATGGGTGACCTAGAATCCACGTGGAGCTGGTCAGTCGTCGGAACAACGTCTCCGAGTGCGCGTATTTGCTCGAGCGCTTTCGCGGACCGTGGCGGATAATCGAATACGCGAGCGCCGTGGCGCTGCTGACGCGATTACCGAGCGCTCCACAGGCACGGATGGTCGCTCGCGAGCAGTGGGTCACCGACGAGATGATCAAGATTCGGGACGAATTTCATGCCGAATTTCAGGCCGACGACGTCTTCTCGGGCGCCCTGTGCCGAGAGGACAGTCGGTGGGCCACCTCCGCTAATCTGTCCTGCCGGCTGATCCTCGGTCACTTCAGGTCGGATGGTGTGGCGAATTCAACGGCAGCGTCGACTCGCTGCTGCACGTGCTCGCTTCGCCAGCCGTAACAGGATTCCGTTGACACGCGTGCAGCGGCTCGTCGACGTGGCCAGCTGGGGCTTGGGTTATTGGGTTATTGGGCACCAAGGTCGAGGTAAGGCACGGGCCGCGCCGCCTGTTCGCCGACGCGGGCACCGATGTCGCGACCTCGGTCAAGTGCATCTGCGCGCGTTCGAGAAGGCCTTCGGACTGTGGCCGCACAGAGGCGCCGGCTCCTTCGACGTCATCTACCAGCCGCGGCCCACTTGTGCGACAGCGGCGTCTGCAAGAAGAGCTTTGACATGTTTCCCAAAGCGAGCTAGGACATCGAGCCGATCAGCGGCTCGGTTATTTTCAACGACCTCCACCCGCTCCACGGCAGGTACACCCAGGAAGCACAAGTACTTCATCGTGCTGGTTCGGAAGCTGCACCACGAGCCGGTGCTCACGCTGTCGGAGGCGGACCCCGAGGTGTACCGGACCCTGGGGCGCCTTCCAATCCGAAGGTCTCGGCTTCGATCGGGCAGCTTTTACAGCCTGATTCCCGGCGGCGCTGCTGGCCGACTGCGAGACGGAAAAGTTGCTTTTCACGTAGACAACAACGCTGTCTCTGGCTCTCAATAACTATACAAATAAATAAATAAATATTTCTCGCGAGTAATCGTTGCTTTCCAAGGTTCCCATCTCGTTTACAAGCCTGTCCCACATCGACGTAGGGCTGGCTTATCTTTTCAACAGACGCACGTTAGTTGGAGTCACGCAACGGATCCTCGTCGTTGCCTCGAATTCGATTGTCTCGGATAATACCTTTGGCGAGGCCCTTTTCCAAGCATCAATCGCATCAACTTTCGCTATCGCTCCTTATCGTAAATACAAAGTGCATTTCAATGCTCGTTCTCAATGCTGTGCTGCTTAGTGACGTCAAGTGAATGCTGAAAAAGTAACGTAAACAAAATTAATCACTGTGTACGGTTGCGTCTGTACGAGGCATTAAGAAACGACATCTCGGCACACTTTCGTCTCTTGCTGTTTCAGTCTCGGATCGTACGATTACGATTATTGTTGCGATTGACCTCTCACAGTTCAAGCGATCAATTTAAAGATCACTGCGCGTGTAATCTCAGCCATAAACACGCGAAAGATGACGATAATTGTCCGCGTACTTCTCTTTGAATAGTTTCTGTTCGGCAAATCCCTCCTTTGAATTTAATAGTAATTTGCCATGGAATGGCAATCTCGATGGCTTAGCATCCAGTTCGTTTGGTTACTGCGTCTCTGTCTCGTGGCGCTCGAATCTTTTCCAATGGAAACATATGGCTTCGAAAGCGCGAGCGCGTTGACGAAGAGGGCCGGCAGAAGGCTTCCCGATGGATTCAATGAAATAGCCGAACCCACCGCAATATTCCAAGTTTCGAATGGAAAAAACTTCCTCGCCCCGTGAGCTTTCCCCGTGGACGCGTGAGCTTGATTCTGTATACGATCGGCGCGATCGCGCGGAACGCGAGAAACGACACGCACGATTTCGTTTCTCAAACAGGCGAGACTAGTCTCAAGCGCTCGGCGTATCGCTCGCTCGAGCTGTTTGCCGATTATCGCGTCCCAAATTTGAAACTCGTTTCTATTCTGAGCGAAACATTATTTTCTGCAAAAAAAAAAAATATATAGTTGAAGGCTCTTTTAATCAGGACAGCGCAGCAGGATTAGGGAGACCTTGTCGTCGCCGAGCACTTTATTCGAGTGCGTTAACAGACCTATTTGAATATACGTAAAATGGCTCTATTCATGAAGACGGCAGTTTGGATCGGGTCTCCTGCGCGGACGGGTACTGCGGCAAGGTGCGCGCGTCGACACGGCGATGCCTTGAAGCCAGATAGGGCCGTCGTCGACGAGTCAGCGCCGAGGAAAATGGGCGCGAGAGGAGCGCTGCTGCTCGCGATCGCCACCCTGGGCGCGCTGGCGGACGCCGAGGCCGCGGCGCTCGAGGCGGCAAGGAAGATCCGAGCGGAGCCGTCGATCGGCCACTTCGGCTACTTGCCCTTCAACAAGTGGCTGTTCGGCGACAGCGCTCACGCTCATTACGCGACCTGCGACAACTACCCGCTGAGCCAGTACAACGCGAGGAGGACGTGCGAGCTGGTACTGGTCAGGATCGACAACAAGGCCGTGAGCAGCAACAAGACGTGCCCGGTGCAGTTCCAGCCGAACGACCGGGCGCCGGAGAAGTTCCTGCCCGCGGTGCGGGGCGACCAGGTGATACTGCCGCACGTCTACTTCACCAGGCGCAACGAGCGCAACTTCCCCACCGAGATGTACCTGCAGTACCGCGTCGTCAACATGTCCAGCTGCGAGTCCCACGACATCAGGATGCTCGTCAATCCCGAGTTCGTGGTTCGCAACAACCTGCTGTACTTCCACAACAACATCGTCTCGCGCGACGGCGGCATCGGCGTATTCGTGCCGAACGACGGCTTGTGCCTGGGCGCCTTGTGCAGGCTCGACTACGACGCGCGCGGCAAGATCCTCGGCGAGGCCACGTCCTACCTGCCGCCGGAGATGAGCGGCGACTTCGTGCAGCTGTTCCCGGCGTCCGCGCCCGGCGCCTACTTCGCGCTGACGCTCGAGTGGCGGAGGCGCCGCGCCGACGGCGCGAGGCCCTACGGCGACGCGATGCGGCTGCTGCACGCGGCCGAGGGCCGGTCCAGCGAGCTGGCCAAGTTCCGCTACAAGGCCGGCCTCACCGAGCTCTTCGCCGACGCGTCCAACGGCCTGTTCGCCGTCTGCCGCAGGTTCAGCGCGAGGAACAGCAGCAGCAGCAGCAGCGGCGCGATCCACTGCGCTCAGTTCGACGAGGGCAGGGCGAGGACGATGGAGGCGGTCGTCCAGCCGGACAACTCGACGCGGCCGATCGCCCTGTACAACGCCCCCGGCGGAGGACTGCTGCTGGTCAGCGGCAAGTGCGGCCACAAGCCCGACGAGAACCTCTGCCAGAACCTCGTCTTCGAGCTCATCAAGCGCAACGGCAGGGGCAAGGTGCGCCACGTCCACGAGTGCGAGTACGCTCTGCCGATCGCCGGCTTCGCCAGGGACGGCGACGACGGCCAGCTGTGCGTGTCGCTCTACCAGCCCTGCGACACCGAACGGTTTCAGGTCTTTCTCACCAAGAAGTGTTACGCCAAAAAGATGCTTCTCTGATTGTTCAAAGCTCGCCCATTGTCAGTTCGGAGAGTAGCAATAAATTTTCGTAGCGCAGTGTTCCTCGCAGTCTCGAAGCTTTATTTCCATCGACGCGCCGGCGCGTTTGCCGTGGTTCATCGCAATAATCCACAAATAAATTGAGCACTATCCTTTTTTTGAACAATCCATGGCACGAGAAAACCGTGCGAATTCGTCTTCCTTTTTTACATCCGTCAACGTGATGATCGGCTTGCTATGTTCGTGACACGCGCGAGCGGAGAAAATTTTACTCGTCAAAGATCGAATCAATGGATTATTCGATTTTTTCTGACGTGGCCCGTGGACGTCACGGAGATGCACACCTGCGAGTATACGCATTCCGTGCAACTATTCCACTGGTCGCCAAAGCAATTGAATGAGTCGCGATCTCAATCTCGAAGAATTATTAGATCTCGTCCTTGAATGAATTTTTTTTCTTCGTCGCTCTACCCCACGGCGATAACCTCCCAAGACCTTGTGGGACATAAGTTTCAGTACTTTGAGATGAATGAAATACAGTTATGTTCAAAATGAACTACACGTCTTGGCGTGAATTTTTTCGCAGGTAATTGTTCTAAAAGACTCGAATGAATTTTCTCTTTCACCTAGGTTTCGGTTTCCCTGTTCGATCACGAGACTTCGAGCACTCGACATGTCTATACTGGAGAAAATCGGCGATTATTCATTCAACTGCATAACTGACAAATCGTTAGTTGATTCCACCCGCACACTATAATAGTATTTCAGTTAACATAAGTTAAACTTTACAATCGCCGTTACCCCTCTTCGTCAGCCTCGTCAAAAGCGCGTCATTCTACCTGGTAGAACGTGATGGAACATTTTAATTTGAAATAATTCATTCGATTATCCAATGCGTAATATTGAACGTAATGATCGATTGAACAAACAAATATAAAACTGGAAATTCAACTGTTCAGTCGAAGCAATATAGCGATATAATTACGACCGTCATGTTTCTCGAAAGAAACCTTACTCGAGTCTCGCGATCGACTAGGCCAAAGCTGAAAGCACAGCTTGCGTTCAAAAATCAAAACGTCACACGGAATAAAACAAAATGGTCCACCGAACGTAATTGCAAACGAACTAATGCAGTTGCTAAATGACACACGCGACAAAATGAGCGCTAATCTTGCTGCACGATGAGCACAATCAAGGTATTAGTTATTTACTCGGCATCGCTGAGTTTAGCTTATAGCGATTTGCTTCGGCCAACCAATTTTTGCGCACCGTGGACACCCCGTTGGGAGCACACGATCTTTAAAAGGGATAACTGCCTGAAGATACCAGAATCGCAGGGGATCATAGCAAAGTCATTTGAGAACCGAGAAATCTGTGAGGTGAGTGAAGTTCACTTAACGAATGGGGGAAATACAATATTCAGCGTTACAAATAACGGTACATTTGAAGAGATTATAAGGACAGGGTAAGAGCACTCGTACACAGTACAGTTATTTTCATTGCCATATTGGTTTACTAATCGGATGCTATTATCACGTAGATTTTTAAAAATAACAGAGATAGACCTGCGCTATCGGCAGGTCAATTTAGGGCAATACGGGAAGCCGCGCTGCCGTCAAGACGTTCTGAACGCATCGACTGTGAACATGTACAAGTTGTCAAAACACTTAATACTTCTTACGATAAGAATGCTATTGCCATCGGTTGTTTACCTCTGGGAAATGATAGTGTTTTACAAGTCATTCGAGTGGCAGCTAAATTGGAAGCTAAAGTGGAAGCGGAGAATAAAGTTCCAATCGTACAGTCACGAAGAAATTCGTCCTCATCAATAATTTTGTCTGATCGATCAACGGAGCGTGATATCAACTTTTAATTCAAGCTTTAACTTTTAATAATGGAATAAAAATTATTTATTTTTACATTACTGAATGCACTACAGAAACCATAAATAACTCGTCAACTTTAAGACAAATATAAAACCAATGCGTGATCTTGCCTTTCAGTGTAAAAATTAATAGAATCGAAGATAATAAAGATTCAATAAATCGGTTACAGTTTCACAATACATCACTATATTCTTAGAATAAAGAGTTCCGTCAAAATTCGCATTAAATATTAAAGTGCACCGCTACGCTAATCGATGTTGTCGATCATTCATATTTACCTATTACTGAAAACTTAGTCCGTGGATAATCATCAATAATAAAAATCACTCATTCAATGACAATGAAAGCTTTAGCGCCGGGGAAAACATTAAATATTTATTTTAAATTACTTCCACAAATGTAGTCATGATATAACCTTTCTATTTACTATTGAACTTGTTAACTTGTAAAAATGAGTCATGTATCAATAATTTTCGTTTACCAGTGATACAAAATTTATTAAGTAAATCTTACCTAAATGTAATAAGACAATGTTTGCTTATACCAAAGTATCACATAATATTGCCAAAATAATGCAAGGCAAGACATTTAAAACATACATTGCACAAACAGGCATTGAATAGAATGGCGTGCGGACAATGGTGCATAGTTTTATTATACATAGAAATTATTGTGCATAATATCATAGCATAAGAAGTTTATGTAATAAAATTGTCTGCACGCCAATAGAATAAGTACAACTGAAGTTGAAGAAATAAATGACGATCAAGTATTTTAAAAAATTGTCTGACCGATTCGAACCATGCTATTGTCCATATCAAATTCTGTATAAAATTCCATCATGAAAGCACCTCCGAGCTCCCATACTGATGAATTTGGATCAGGATTTGGAACAAATGGGCTGAAACAGGCTTCAATATTTTGAAACGTCATCTGAAATAGGCAAATTCAACGTTTAGAAATTTATTATATCGTCAATGATACGTTACTTTCGGTTTTATTTACCCGCTGTACATAATACTTGGACTGAATGATGAATTCAGTTCCGTTCATAACAAAATGTATAGTCGGTAGCTTGGCATATTTTCGGCAGTTTACCTAACATAGAACAAGATATTGCGAATCGATCATCGGCCATAGAGTTTTTAAGAAATTTCATTTGGGCATACCGAGTACATATTGAGGTAAGGTACGTAAATAGCGTTGAGCATATAATTGAGCTTCATGATGGCATCTGCAGGCCCAGTTATGGCATTGGCACTTGTATCGAAAAAGGCTTTAATATTGTTGATGATTGGATAATCCGTCTTGTTCATTCGAGCGAAAATACTAATGCAGATAATTGAAAATAGTGGAGAATTAATTGTTTTTTCATAAAAGGGCAATGATAAACGCTTACTTGTCTATTTTAATCATCCAGTAACTTTTCTCGGTGACTTTTAGAGTTGTGAGTGTATCATTTTGTACATGTGATCTTTGCGTTCCGCCGAGTATGAGTTTGCCAGCTCTTGTCGTAGTCTCGTCTCTGCGGAAAAGTGATCAATTTAGCTAGGTAACTTTCAGGAGTACAAAAAATTCATTTGAACGATCGACACACCGGTTCATGTAGAAAGTAAAAATATTCTCCTTGATCAGTCCTTGCCTAATAAGATTATAGAAAAAAGGTGTAACGTTAAAAAGTGTATGCTCTTTGAAAGCTAAGCCAATGAAGCCGTCAGCTCGATAGTGCCAAAATGGATTGATCGATAGGTGCGTAGCTTCGAGGAACGTTTGGTTCGGCAAATTTATGTGAGCTAACTGCGAAGCGGAAAGAAGAAATGAAATTTTCACAAATTAGTCCAACTAATTAAAATTAATGTGAAATGGTATTTTAATCACTCACGTGAAAGGTGTCAGTTGCCAAAAAGCCCCACAGCGAGAACTGGTTGTCGGTTATATTTATGAAACGGGTTTCGTTGGGCACATAAGACGACGAAGCTGAACTATCGTATTGCGTGTGGAGTTCTAGACATAACAACGATTACCACGAGTTATAGGATGATAAATATGCTTTAATTATTCACGATAGTAGTATAACTCACTGCATACGATCTCGTTCCAACTGCAATGCGACGACGGTAACCAAGAGTCTGCCCAGGTCGTGTCGAAGATAACTTTGAAGGTTTTTGCCGGTGAGCCCACTTTGATTTCGCCGTAATATTCGCCCTGCGAAAGTATCGAATAAAACAAATAATCCAGGAATTATATCGATCGTAATTATGCAAAAAATTTACTCACGTTTAAAAATTTGTTAAGCACCACAGAATCATTAAAACGGACATCCCTTTGCAAACTTCTCTTAAACAATCTCTTAACGTGTTTCTCGGACGGTTTGTGTTCATACAAATCTACTCTAAAGTTGAGAAATTTTAAAGTTTCTAAAATCAACAATAAATGCTTTCATACTCACTCTATCCGACTTTGTACGAGGACCGCAAAAATCAGTAATAATCCAATAAAGGAGTACATTTTGGAGTGTACGTATACCACCAATAGAAAAGATACTTGTTGCGCTGACAAAAGTTTTCGTTACTCTGGACCGTCTCTCACTTGCCGCTGTATGGCTGCATGCGACTCCGAACATCCACAGGTGGGGAATCCCTGGTTCACTGTTTCAGTTTTAAGATAGCGACTTCCTGCATGATCATCCAATCGCCAGCATGGGCGGTGGTAAATGGCCAATCGTAGTTGATCGTTCCGTTGCGAATGAAGCTTTGGTTCTTGCATTTAATCTATTTTTTCGACCCTTTATTTGCTATATAATATACTATCTATTTGATAAAATTATCAACAAACTTTCGTGTCTTTGAATGATACTGTTCCTAGAATTATCGAGTTTTTACATTGAATTCAAGTTAATCTAAATTACAAATAATCAACTAAATGAAGTCGTACAATTCCACTCTTTATCAAAAATTAATTATAAAACTTATTATATTTTTAGCCTTATTGAAGTTCAAATTCTAGAAGAATAGGCCATGTCATTATTCAAACAGTGAAATATTTAATGAACATTGAGTCGTTGATAAATAATTCAAGACTATAGGCAGTTCAGTGAATCAGTTTTATTTTGTTCAAACTGTTTAGCGAACACATCAAATTACATAATATATATATTTTTATTACTTAGTACACGAAGATTCTTCTGTTAGCAATCAACATTCAATCTCCCAATATTATTTAAGTTTAAACTGTTTATGCTTTTCAATTTCTGTAGTCGATATATCAATAGATTGTATTATTTCAATCACCCAATAAAATGTTTCACGTTTTCTTAATTATCTATTATACTTCTTTTTATACTATAATCTTTAATTCTTTAATCTAACTTCAATATTCACGTATTTTATATTTTTTACAGATTTTATTCTCATCTGCAACAACCTAAAATTGTATAATTATCGCATAATTGCCATCATTTGTAGTATGTAAATGCAGTGGTCAGTTTAGAAATGAAATTAATACAAGATTTGTACCAAAAATAAAATTTCACTTTTCAAAATTTAACTTGTGTTTACACCTTAGTAACGTAACGTCTGTTATTGTCCTATCGTAAGTCGTATTTAAAAAAAAAGAACATAAAACAGAGAGTATTAATCCTTCACCATTTAAATAAAAGAAAGTTAAAAAGTATGTAGAGTGTAATAAAAAAATCACAATGCTTGAGTGCTGTCCTTTTGTTTGACAATCATTTATTATTTATATTCATTTTCTAATCGTCGCTGTACATGTTTTCTAAATATTTTCTTTTGACTCACTGGACAAGAGACTTTTTACACAGATTTTCAATGTGACTGCATAGAAGTATTACGCACCACGTATTTCTTTTAGAAAACATGGGTAAACGTTTTTTTTTTTTTCGATTTTTAAAGCCTCTCGAACAATTTTCATTTTTTAATCAGATGTACAATGTCGGGTGGAATGTATTTTCAATGTTTAAATCGACGAAAATGCAAATCATGACTTGAATCTAATTGACATGTTGAGCAACGATTGTACGCCTCTTAATTAGGAAAAAAAATAAAGAAACGAAAACTAAAGTAGGAAAGTTTTATCATTTAAGTCGTTCGAAAGCCTTTTTCTACCGTCGATTTGACTTGCCTTCGACTTCCTTTTTTAAACGTCCCCATACGTACATACAAAGTTTCTTCAAATTCGAAAGTAAGAATACTAATAAAATAATACAAGTTACAAAGTACACAAGTTGCAGTGTCAGTTTTGTATCAAATATAAACATAATCGAACATTCTAAATATTATTTATATGAACGTGTCTGACGTCAAAAACGGACTTTATAATTGTGTCGAAGGCGAACATTAAATAGTAATTGTCGCAAGTGCTTTGCACGTGTTTTTATACATTTTTCTTTACACAATTAACGCACTTTTGAACATTTTCCAATGTACACAGAGAGAGGGAGAGGGAGAAAGAGATGAGAGAGAGAGAGAGAGAGAGAGAGAGAGAGAGAGAGAGAGAGAGAGAGAGAGAGAAAGAGAGAGGGAGGGAGAGAGAGAAGTACATAAAAACGACACTATTTCTTATATGTCTTTCATGTTTGGAGGGGAATTTGTATTTGCGTGTGTTCGTGTATGTCGGTACGTCTATTACAATTATTATGCGGATATGACTGCGTGAGTGCGCAAATGTGTACGTGTATGATGATGTGAAATTCGAACATCGCACTTATCTCTGTCCGGCTTTGAACTTGTTCCTCTATATAACATAGTCATTGTTATTACTGTTTGTAATTTCCAAAAATCAGACGGTGTAAAAATCTTTGTCTAAGAAGGTTAGACCTAAGGGGCGGGGGAGGGATGAGTTGACAATGTGAAAGTGTTTTTACACTTGACCATTGGCTCCGACCTTGGTCGCTGGCAAATCCTCGTCGATCTTTGCCTTCTTTGGCGAAACGACATCCTTTGCCGCGTCGTCGGTTACCTCGCCACCTGTCGATTTCCTCTTGATGCAGCAGACATTGTCAGTGGGTGCATCTATGAAGGAAACAAGAAAAAATTAATATTCTATTTCATTTTTATGTTTGTCATTTATTAAGCTGAGCTGAACTTATACATGTCTACATTTTTATAAGTACATCTCAGAATATTTTGGCAGTAGAGCAATAGTTATCAAGTTCTTTAATGGACAATTAATTTGTTAATCCAATTGAACATTTTAGAATAAACAAATTACGATTTTTAATTTAATTTTTTATGTTTATAGTATGCACCAAAACATGCAGAACAGTATTTTCGTAATAATATCGAAAGCGCATGCCTGCAGTTTAAATTTATTTTTATTTAACATAATATAAATTTGATTATTTGACGTTTTTTGAAATGTTAAAGTGTGAAACAAAAAGAACACATCACAGTGAATAAGCGTCAAAATAAAAAGTTAAAAAAATATGATACAAAAAGTTAAGCTCATAGTTAATAATTGTATGTAAAGCCTCGTCAATCTTTGTTCGAAAATAAATGGTTGCGGAATGTCGCACAAAAACAAGCCTGACAAAGTACTCAAGCGACCCAGAAATATGACATCACAGGCAAACAAAGCATCTTAGAGTAGCGTGGAAAAGGTTCGCGTGTATATACCCGTGGAATCGCCATTGGTGGATTCGGTTTCCTTTTCATCAACCTCCTTCTCCTCGCTCGAGCCATTCTCTTTGGCATCCTCGGATTTGCCGTTCTCTGACGCCTTGGAATCTTCGTCGTCGTTGGTGACCTCTTCCGCCTCTGTTTCGATCTTCTCGGCGTTTTTCACCGGACTTACATTGTCCTCTGGTTTGGTATCTTTAGCGACCTCCTTCGTCGCTTCCTCCTCGGCAACCTTCTTCTCGGTTGTGCTGACGGACCTAAAGCAAACACACGTCGATTAGAAGCCGCTTGAAAAATAAAAACCGCGTGCACGTGTTACACAGGACTTGTTGCACGTACTTGCCGAATAATAATTTTTGCGCGTTGAATTGATACAAATAATTCTACGAGAACGCGTATCGATTCTGATATAAAACGGTCGTGCGCGCGGGAGAGAAGGCGGCGCAAGAGACGAGAGCGCGCGGCAAGAAAAAAAAAAGAACGAGCGAGAGCGTGAAACAAGCTTTCCGGCCGGCGCGAGTGCGAGAGAGACAGAGCGAGGGACGCCGGGGCCAGTGGTGCTCCGCCATCATGCTTTGATACCGCAAGCGCGGGCAACCCACGCCGCTGCCGCGACCGTTTTTGCAAAAAATACACCGTTTCAGGGACACATGTACGCGTCTAATTGTCTTTCTTAACTAGGTCAACACGACTTGAGAGTGACTATGAGCAAGCGAGAAAAAACGAAGAGAGAGCGAAGAGGAAAAACTCGCGGTAACGATGTGTTGTATGTACCGGCCGCCGATCGATACTCGCGTTTGCTCGCAATATTTTAGGAAGGCGGCCAACGGTTTTAACGGAAAACCTGCGGTACTTACTTAGCTTCTACGTCTGCCATCTCGAAATTTTAAGGATAACTGCTACTTTATCAGCACACAAGTAAGCAATAATGAAGCACTGATTAGCACACACACAAGTCACCTTAAAATATGTCGTGTCGAGCTGGAAGCGGCGGCAAGACTGAACGAGTATAGCGCCGCGCGCGACTTCGGTTGGCGCGCTGCTTGTGGGGAGGGGAAGGGGGGATCGCGGGGCAAAAGGGGAGGAAAATAGGACGCTCGCCGTGTATGCCGCCGCCGCAGCCGGCCGGCGTTGCTTCCCGCTTGCGACTAGATGGCGCTCTATTTTTAACAATGATGTTGATTATTTCTTTCGGCTTAATACGAACTCTTGGACTACAATATATCTTGATCTAGATATCCCTTGGTTTGACCCTTTTCACGAAGTCGGTGCCGAGCGAAGTGACCTGCTTGCTCCTCGCTGCTCACCGTATGAATTGCACGATAGTGGGAATATCGTGCATTTCCGTTGCGCGCACGTGCTTGCCGCCTTCTCGAAGATTCGGGCCACTTCCGGTCTTTCGCGTGTGTGTACGCCGGCGAGTCCACGCATCACAACCGGCCTCGTCCACTTTTGTCTTTGCCTCTTCGCTCTGCCTCTGTCCTTTCTTGCGCAACGAAAAAACGAGAAAAGTTGGAGGATGCCGCGTAGGGCGACGAAAATTATTGTCGCTGCACGCGCGAGAGGCGTTAGAGAAAACGCGTATCGATTGGTTTACAAAAAATTTCGGAGGCGCACGTGGCGAGCTTCAAATTACGCAAATGCTAGCTCAACACCGTATACCTTGCAACTGTGCAAACACGTGGAATTTTCCTCGAAATGACAAGTAGCAGAAAGGGAGAGAGAGAGAGAGAGAGAAAGTCGAACGCTGGACTTGTCCCTCATTCGAAAATAGCAATGCAGGCCACGTATTTCGAGAAACGGCATTGGCGGCTCGTAGGTGTCGTCGGCGAAGAGAGGAGCGGAAAATCGAGCAAAGCTCCGAGCGCGTCGTCCGCTGGTATCGAAGCACTTTCGCTCGGGATCGCTCGAGCGTTACGCAAGAACGAGCCGTCGAGAGTTGCGCAGACACACTTCCGCGTGTCGAGAAAGGTGCTCGCCCGACGAAAAGTGAGGGAGAGATTTCCTTCGAGAGAGCGAGAGAGAGAGAGAGAGAGAGAGAGAGAGAGAGAGAGAGACACGGAGAGCGGCCGAGGTTCAGCGCACCGACGGCGCTCGCTTCTTGGGTGGTGATACAGCTTGGCGCTCGCGTCTCTCCTCCCTCTCTGCGGCTGATACGCTGTATTTTCGGAGCAGCGCGCGCCTCTTCTTTTTCTTCTTTTTCCTTTCTCGTCGCCATCGAGCAGCGTTGGTCTATCTTATCTGTCGAATGTACGTGCTTGACGATTGTTTGAGGAGCTTCGCGGCCACAAGCTGGGAGCGTCGTTAACCTAGTTATTTCTTTTCATCGCGGCCGTGTTATACACACTGGGAACGTCCGCGGGACATTGCGAGAGGGAAAGGGGGGGGGGGCCGAGAACTGCTGGCACCGGCGTTTCTTATCGTTGTAAAATCATCTGGCGTGCGCGAAACGCCCGAGCGCGCCCGAAAGAAAGCCATGGAGACGATTGGCATTGGCGTGCTCCTCGTCGCGACAATCGGCCGTCGACCGTGAAACCGACGCGAAGGCGATCGCGAGGGCCCCCACCAGCAGCTAATTCGCGTCAGCGGGGTTCGAGCGCAATCGCATCAGCGCGCGCCCTTCGCTCTGGCGAAAAGTCAATTATCGTCATCGAAAGCGACGAGCGGAGAGCGAGAGAGAAAGCGAGGATCGCTCGGAGCGTTGGTGCGCAGTGTCTCTCATGCGGGCACGACGAACCGCGTAACGGGTCGACAACCCGAAAAACCCCTGCGCGGCACGTGCCGCCGCGCGTCGCGCAGCTGCGCCGCTCGCGCGCAGGCAGGTGCTCGCGCGGCCAGATGCTGCCCGTTCGCGGCGTCGGAAAATTGGGCGACGGGGGGACGCGCGTCGACTCCGGCTGCGACGCGCTACTTTTCCACGTCCGCCGCTGCCTCGCGTTATACCTGCGCCCGGCAAGCAGCGGAACTCCGCTTCGACGAGCCCACCGCCGCGGGGGTCGTCGACCTCGCCGCAGCGCGAAGAAGCTCCGGGCTGCCGGACAGGTAGTCGAGCCCTTCGCCGTCACGCGTCCGGGATTTTCGCTGGCCGCTCGCGCGCGCTGGCCGCGTACTTCCGGGCTCGCGCGACGATCAAGGGGCAGTAATTTTCCGCGCGCGCGCGAGAAGCGGCGCAAGCTGCTGCGCCGTGCGCCGTCGAGAGGGAGAGAAAGCTCGCTGATCGATGTAATAACGAGCGCACGTGTCCTTCGGCCACGCTTTTCCCGAAGCACACGGAGGAGGAGCGGGAGGCGTATGCGTAAGCGTTTCGCGCGACGTACCGACGCATAGATTTTGTACACGTTCTCATCGACGCGAGCTTCCAATTTCGTCCGCCGGTAAAGATCGTGCATATTTGAATAATTCATGGTCACGCAGTCGTCAGGTTACGCACGCGCGTGTAACTCGGGAGAGGAATACCGCGACTTCCGGTTCGAAGCTCCTTGGAAATTCGGTTTTCCAGGGGGCTTGCTTCGACGAATGCTCGTCGCAGGCGGCATGAAAAACCAATTATAGCCGTTTTCCTTGTGGCCGGACAATGGGCGCGTGGAACTGCGAAAACCGAGCGGACAAAAATAGCCGCGGTCTAAAAAAAAAGTCGCGGCGGCAGCGCGCGGCCCATCGCATATCCATTACCGCGACAGAGAGAAATAACGAGGCGCGACGTGGAAGAGCGCGAGGAGGAGAGCACGATTGTCGACAAAACGAACGAGTTTTCCCACGGGCCGTGGCGGCACAACGACAACGGCCGGCCTGGCTCTCGCTCTCCGTTCCACCCCGAGCGTATTGCCAATACGCTCTGCGCGCCCGGCGAACTCGCCCCGCTTTTGATAAGCTCCGCTTATCGATCGCGACGCGCGTCACGGCGCGTACACGCACTCGCGCCCGCGACGGCCCGCGCGTCCCGGAGAATCGCGGCCTCCGTCGCCCGCAAAATCAATCGCGGATCGACGGCTCCCCTCGTCGCCTCTCCGTGGCCGCTCCTCCTCGCCACGTCGCACCGCAAGACTCTATAAATAACGGCGCGCTCCATTTTGCCGGGACCAGGCTCCGATGGAACTCTGCCGTCGCTCGTCGCCCGCGAAGACACGATCGAGCGTCCAGCGAGTGCTGAGGCCAGCGTCCATTTCGCCGAGTCGTCGGACGATCGACACGAAGTGCGCGTCGCCGCGGCAAACGAAGCGACGCCATCGGGCCGGACCGGACATTCGGCTTCGGTCGAGTCAGTCGCGCCGAACAGCTCGACGTCGCGGGCTCGCCTTGTGGCTTTTCTGCAAGCTGCAATTTTCCCCGATCGGCTGTCGTTTCGCTCGAACGCGAGTCGGAGGCATTCCATTTACCGCCCCTTATCTGCCCCGTGCGGCTTGTAATCGCGCTCGCGCCGTCGCCATACGTATAAATAAGCTCGCTGCCGAAACGCTCGCGGAGCGCAGCATCCTGATAATTATACTCGCGGCCGGAAAAAGCTCGGACTTTCGCGGGGGAATAAAAAAAAAAGAGGAGCAGACCGATAGCACAGAGACAGGCGAGGTGGTGGCGGCCGACGGTGAAACCGGTTCCGTGCTCTCTCTCTCTCTCTCTCTCTGTCTCTCTCACGCGCGCGCGCGCCGCTCGTCTCCCGCGGTGCGTGCGAGAACGCGCGATGATATCGCCGAGCGCGCCGAAATTCATTTGGTCACCGACCGTTCCCCGAATTCCGACTCCGAGGCAGCGCGTCCCTTTCGCCGCCGCACGATGGAAACCAATCGCTCTCGCTCTCCTCCTCTAGTGCTCTTGATCTTGCTTTTGTTGGTTCTTGTGGGAAAGGGGCATTTCTCGAGTGAATTATTTTAGAAAGTGTCGTTTACGTAAGCTGCGCCCGCGCGTCCTACGTGTCATTTTCTCTCTTTCCAACGCTCGAGCGAGCAATTACCCGTACAATTCTCTGTCGGAAGGTCACGGTGCGCGGCGATCGATGTTTTGGTGTTAACGCCGAATCAGAAGACTCGGCTCGCGTAAACACCACACGTCCGTGCGGATTCGCGATTTTTCATTGAGGAACGGTTGCAGTTTATCGTCTGAAAATTTTCCGTTGGAAGGGATCTATTTCAGTCTGATAGATCGAGCGCTACCTATTTTTACATTATAACGAACGTTTTCGCCTCGCTCTTTCTCATATGAAACTATATATACATATATATTATAATCCCGCGATTCGTTAGTCGCGTGACCATTTGAAACGCGTGCTCATCTGAACTGGTCCTGCCATCTTGTAGTTGCAATTGCAAGCTCGTGCACGGTCGATAAAGTTAACTTTAAAGCTCACGAGATCGACTCAATCGAAAATTTTCAATTCTCGTGATTTTTTACAGCTTTAATGGCAATGTTTTGGTAATTTATATGTTTTTTTCAAGTACGAGCTTGCAAAAGGTAATCCATTTTTTATTGCTGTTTTCAGATTTTTTAACGTAAAAAAAAAATAAGTATCACATTCCATATAATTTTTAGTAATACTTAGTGACGTTAGACGAGCTTCGCGTGTTCTTGTCTTCTTTTTCATTTCTTGTTATATTGATTAACATATTTAACACAAATACTTTGTTAAAAATGGGTTTTTCCATTTTTTACAAAATACATCGCAACGGAAAATATGTATTAGTAAAACAGCTACTTCCATGTTTCCAATTTCATGATTTGTCATATCAAAAACTGCGATAATAATCTTTTAGTTCTTTTCAACTACACCGATCAAATTATTATTTAAATTTATCCTATTCTATGAATCAATATTGCGACATTCCATTTATTTCAATTTTACTCGTTTAAAAACCAGATTATCGATTAGTAATAGAAAATAATTGGAACAATTTCAAAGCATAACCTCTTGTTTTTATGAAACAATTTATTCGCTGCCAGAAGTTTTACAAAATGAGTGTTAAAACAATAATACCATGGCTTATAGTTTTTACTTTCACTGTCATCAAAATGACCCGTATCAATTATGTTAAATTGAATTTTCATTACTAAAATCTCAATTCGAAAGTATACTTTTACGCTTATTTGTCACCACATAACAGATTATCACGTGACCATATCTTAGCCAATCAGATCATAAATAAAATGCTTCAACATGGCATCCATCACTTTTTTATAAGAGGAAACGAGTGATTTATTAAAAATAACGAAACCTTCGGAGTTTATTTAGTCAGTTCAGACATCAGGTCGCGCAAGCTCGCATTCTAGAAAAGAAGTTTCGAAAGACAAAGCATTGCACAATAGAGTGCAAATTGTTTCCTTGACTTTTCTGCCAAAACTTAGCAAAAAGGAAAAGAAAAAGCTCCTCGGAATCGTAACAAAAATACCCGCCCGAGGCATAATAATCGGCGCGCGCAGCTCCCTATCTCGGAGGGCACCATATATACTACCACGTAAATATACGTGTACATATACGCATACTCCGAAGTACAACGGTATTGGCTCGTGTCAAGTGACTGAGGGAAAGAGAGAGAGAGAGAGCGAGAGAGAGAGAGAGAGAGCGCGCAAGAGAGGGAACGCGCGCAAGTGAGAGAGAGAGAGAGAGAGAGAGAGTGCGACGGTAGAATCGAGCGGTGGCGCGCGTCAGCAGTGTCGCAAGTAGAAACGGGCCGTGCGCTGCTGGCTGGTCGTGTCGTGCTCTGTGGTGATAGAGGGGCAGGTCCGTCATCGTTTGCCCATCAACGCCGCTCGTCCACGTCCAAGTTTGCAAGCAAGCGGGCAAGCTGCAGCTTCCTCGCATCGAGACGTCTGTAAACACGGGAAGCTTTCGCTGAGCGCGAGTTTGCGAAGACGTCAAGCTAAGCAGAAGAAAAAGTCACGCATGTGGCTGCGCAGAGTGGAAGGAACAAGCAGAAGCAGCAGCGCCGAGTGAAGAGTGCGAGAGAGAATCGATCAGCTAGTGAACGAGCGAGAGCGCGAGTCGAGATGGCGGAGCAGCAGCGAGTGTTAGCAGCGAGGAACGAGGAGCAGCAGTAGCGGCGTTGACCTATTTTTCATTTTCCTCGAGAGACACCGTCGCCTAGTCATCGTCGTCGTCGTCGTCGTCTCTCTCTCTCTCTCACTCTCTCTCTCTCTCTCTCACTCACGAGCTCTGATCTCCACATTGTGTATCTAGCTCTGTGTGTATGTTAGCGAGCGATTCTCGCGTGCCTGCCTGCTTGCCTGTACCGTAGCTCTCGTTATCTCCGTCTCACTTTGGCTGTTCTGCTTGCGCCTACTGTGTGTGTTGGTGTGTAAGTGAGGCACACGATAAATATCTGCCAGTACAGCAGCAAGCAGTGTGTGTGTGTGTGTTATTTGTGTAAGGCACCCGCGCAAGTGTGTGTGTAAGCACCGAGCAGTCGACGACGGCGGACAAGACGACGACGACGGCCACGACAACGACGTCTGCTAAGTCCATAGAGGGGAAAAGAAGAAGCACTAGCGCTGTGAGATAGTGAGAGAGAGTTTGCGGTCGAGAGAGAGAGAGAGAGCGAGTTAGTGCGCGTGCGACGAGGGTTTTTTGGCCAACAGGCACCAAGGTCGCAAAAAAGCAGCCGACATTCTGAGAAAACTCGACATCCGTGGAGCCTTGGCAGGCTCGAGCGGCAGCAGCAGTAGCCAAGCCAAGATGGGCAACAATGCCACGAGCTCCAATAAGAAGGTGGACGCCGCTGAGAGCGTCAAGGAGTTCCTCGAGCAAGCCAAAGAGGAGTTCGAAGAGAAGTGGAAGAAAAATCCGTCGAACACCGCGAGCCTCGACGACTTCGAACGCATTAAGACCCTAGGCACGGGGAGCTTTGGTCGGGTGATGATAGTGCAGCACAAGCCCACTAAGGAGTACTATGCCATGAAGATCCTCGACAAGCAAAAAGTGGTGAAGCTCAAGCAGGTTGAGCACACGCTCAATGAGAAGCGAATCCTGCAGGCGATAAACTTCCCGTTCCTCGTGTCGCTGCGCTTCAACTTCAAGGACAACTCGAATCTATACATGGTCCTAGAGTACGTGCCCGGCGGCGAGATGTTTAGCCATCTGAGGAAGGTCGGCCGTTTCTCCGAGCCGCACTCGCGCTTTTACGCCGCCCAGATTGTACTCGCCTTCGAGTACCTGCACCACCTCGATCTCATTTACCGGGACCTTAAGCCCGAAAATCTGCTGATCGACTCGCAGGGCTACCTGAAGGTCACGGATTTCGGCTTCGCCAAGCGGATTAAGGGCAGAACGTGGACCCTGTGCGGTACACCCGAGTACCTTGCGCCAGAGATCATCCTTAGCAAGGGCTACAACAAAGCTGTCGATTGGTGGGCACTGGGTGTGTTGGTGTACGAAATGGCTGCTGGTTATCCACCCTTCTTTGCGGACCAGCCCATTCAGATTTATGAGAAGATTGTCAGTGGTAAGGTACGGTTTCCGTCTCACTTTGGCTCCGAGCTGAAGGATCTGCTGCGTAGCCTCCTTCAGGTGGACCTGACCAAGAGGTTTGGCAACCTCAAGGCTGGTGTCAACGACATCAAGAATCACAAATGGTTTGCCAGTACCGACTGGATTGCCATCTTCCAGAAAAGAATCGAGGCTCCTTTCATACCAAGGTGCAAGGGCCCAGGGGACACCAGTAATTTTGATGATTACGAGGAGGAGGCATTGAGAATCTCGTCAACGGAGAAGTGCGCCAAGGAGTTTGCTGAGTTCTGAAGAGGCCACCTTAGTCAAGGTCAAAGCTCATCATTAGCTGCCAACTGTACCCAACTGTGCTCAGAGCGCTGCAGCCAATCCAGAGGTACAACCTGTTGGAAGAAGTCCCAAGCACCTTGGAGACCTAGGAGACAAGGAATATGAAACAGAAATAAACAAAAAAATTACATTATTATAATGATTCCATGTTCATCCAGTGATTCTCCATCGACAATGAGATAGCAAATGCCACATTCTCCTAGGTTGTGTTTTAAGTCTCACTCGACAACACAGAAACCCACACTTCCTTCTTAAGAGCCAGCAACAACAAAGCGCAACCCAATAAATCCTCTTAGAAAGCATTTTTCCTGGATATAAACGTGATGAGTTTGCAGCTGCTGCTGCTGCTGCTACAACTGCTGCTACTGCTGTGGTATTTTAATTGAGTACACGAAGAAAAAAGAGGTGCATAGTGGTTTGAATGGTGTGTGTGGCATGAGGTGAACAGTGCGGCACAACAGAAGATAGCAAAAGTAAATTCCTATCAAACTCTTAGTATTCTTGTTGCTGATTATGAACTTGCTTGTTGTTAAGAAAAATAAGTAAAAATAAATTGATTAAACAAAGAGAGAAACACGCTCCTCTCGCGCGTGTGAGAAGCGCAGTGAACAAAAATGTTGTAACAAAATGAAGAATCTTCTATTACTTTGAACACTTATATGAGTAGCCGTGTACGAGCAGAAGACGAAGAAAAACTAAAACATATATATATATATATAAATGGAGAAGATGTGCGGACGAGGAGGGAAGCGAAGAAGAGGCCGTGCCTGCAGGATCATCAAGCAATCATCATCTTCGAGCGAAGCTGTCGAGCTGTATCGAGACAGAAAAAGAGAGAGAAAGCGAGAGAGAGAGAGAAGAGAGAAAACAGTGTCGTTTGTCGTGTGCGGTGTCTGTGTCGTGCAACGGAATCGTTACGTATGTTGAGTTGGGTGGCAGTGCGTACGTATATCACGCGTTCTGTGTGCGTGTGCTACAGTGTGCGAGTTGCGCGCGCGTGAGAAAGATGCGTCCGACGACGTCGAATAATGTAATTGTTTTGTCCCCGCCAATTATAAAGGTAGAGATGATTAAAATAAATGCAAGCAAAAGAAAAAAAACACAAAAAAATTAAAAGAAAAAGTTGAAAAAAAAACCCACAAAAAAAAAGAAGGAAAGAAAGAACGGGTCCAGAGATGCTCCGTCTCTCCGCAGACTGACGAATTTTCTTCACGTGTGAAACGAGAGAGAAAGAGAGTATAAGCAGCGAGCACGGGAAGCGCGACCTTGACTGGCGTGAGCGCGCGTAAGTTTAAAAATAAGCAATCGGTGCAGACGGGTAATATAAAACACACATATGTTTCACGAGGCGCGTATATAAATCTTGCTGATCGGCCCAGCGCACCACATCAATTTATATACACTAGCTTGATCGACGACGACCTGAACGTTCAGCTAATTTACAATCTTTATCTCTCTCATCATGAACTCATATACAAAAGACACACACACACACGCGTGCGCGCGCGCGTACGCACACACACACAAATCTCCGAGACTACATATAAAAAGCAGCGGCAACGAAGTATCATCATCTGATCTATCTTTCTCTCTCACTCTGGCTGTCCGTCTGACTTGTCTGTCTGTCTGCGCGCGATCGTGTCGCTCTAATATATATCTTTGATTTTCTCGTGAACCTCTATTTTTCTATATATATATATTCATATATATATATGTATGTGTGTGTATGCGTGTGTGTATGTGTGTATGCGCGCCGCCAAGGTTGTTTGTAAGAGCACACGTTCAAAAGTCCACGTGTGTGCAACGGGGACGCATGTGAGACACTGGAGAGAACGAATATTACAAAAAATAATAATAACCAACAAGAAATATTATTATAAAAGAACATAGCCGACAAGTCGACGACAAGCAATCATACTTAGTAGCGAAAAGAAACGCCAAACGGCACCTCGACCTTCCTCACTCTTACCTTAAAAAAAAATAAAATAAAACCCTACCCTTGCAGGGACATACACGCATTACAAGAGTTTACCACACGTATACACACATGAACAGAGTTCCCCGACAAAATGGAACACACAAGACGACATTGTAAATAGAAGATATATATCGAGGAATCGAGCTTACACACTATCTCTCGTATAATAGTGCGCGCAAGGTTCGGAATCGCCGTTGTGTGGTGTTGCCGTTGCGTCGCGCCTTTTGTTTTACGAGATGCGCCTCGCGAGTCCCATATCTCAATTGGGAATTGAGCTCAATCATCGGCTCGATTAAAACTGCTCTCACGTGCGGTCACGAGCGCCGCCGCGCGACGCAACTACACGTCCGTTTGTTTGCTATTTCTCCCTTTTTTTCTTTCTCTCTTTGCCATTTTCGTTTCGCACTCGTTTTAGAGTGATGTGCGCTTCTTCGTTCCTCCCCCATCCACTTCTCACTCTCTCTCTTTTTTATATCTTCGTTCCGCGGTGGCTATCTATTAATACGACACTCGACATTGACACGACGCTGCTTTATCGAGAGTTCCGCGTTATAATTAAACAGAAAAAAAGTGATAAGAGAGTAGTTCTTTGGTTCTCCGTTTTCTTTTTGTACTCGATTTTTCTTTTTTTCCTTTGGTTTCCCGAGCAAAGCTGCGAGTTTTGCCACCACGACGTCGACGACGACAGTTTATTTTCGCGGCACGAATCCACGGCGATTCTATATATTTCGCGAGAAGAGTGAGTGCGAGAGAGAGTAAGAGTTTATTTTGGTGCGCGTGCGCGTGTCTTTTAAGCATTTTTTTGTTCGTTGGCTCGCCTTCTTCGTACATATATTATAAAATCACCGTGTACATTATTATTATTATTATTATTATTATTATTATTATTATTATTATTATTATTATTATTATGAAAGTTATACGCATATGAATATTATCCTGTTGAATTGTTTATTTTTTATGTATATGTTTTATCGGAGAGCGTTCGGCGTATGTTACTACACATTGTAAAAGAGTATGTCCAGAAAAACAAAAACAAATTATAAGGATGTGAGTGTGTGTGGTGTGCGCGTCCTATGCAAAAGAAAATGCGAGAATGCGAGATGAAAAAGCTGAAAGTGTGAAAAAGAAAGCTGAGCGAAAAAAAAGACGAATTGGGTTTTCCAGCTGTTCCAATTTTTTCGTTCGACGTTGACAAAACCAAACAAACACACTTTCATCCAAACACATAAGTATACAAACTTGAAATCAACACACACACGCGTCAACATAAAAAAAACGCATACGCATTATATCGTGTCGATCTTTGTTCATTTTGTACTAGTCTGTAACGGAGGAATAATTAATCATATTGTATATAGGAATGATGTTAAGCGAATATTTAACTAATGATAACAACAAAAAAAAGAGGCAAAAATATACGATGAAAAAATTTAAGTGTACAAAGGTGCATTATTATTCTTTCTCTTTATCATTATCATTTTGGAAAACCCAAATTTGTTCTATCTCTCGCATATGCGTACGCGAGACACGAAGAGAACACTTTTTACCCGAAATATAAATGAATATTATGATGGTATCTCTCAGCATACAGCAACAAAAATGAAAAAAAAAACGCAAACCCTCCTAAGTGAATATGAAATGACAAAAGAATTTCGAAAAAGCATAATCGCTTACTTTGATGAAAAAAAAGGATCCAACCGATACACTGAAGCAGTATTATATATACGTCGTAACGTTCAATCCTGACCAGAAGTAAGAAACAAACTTTTGAGTTTTATAAATGAGAAAAAGGGAAATAAAAAAAAATATATATATATATATATATTCGTATATATATACCAAGTCAACAAAAAAAACCACGTAAAAAACTTTATCGGCTTTCAATGTAATTGTACCAAGATACTTTTGTAAATATGACAATAAACGCAAATTAACTTATCAATGTTACAAAGGGCCATTCATTCATGCGAGTCTCGATGAAAACTGTACTACCTTTAGTTTAACCAGTGACTTGCGTTCAACAAACCATTTTCACTTAGTAAAATTTACATATTGAACTTGAATTAGATCGAATTAACAAACGTAGACAGTTGCTTTGATTTTACTAATAAAGCTAGAGCATAAGAAATTACCGTTAAAAAGTGTCGGGTCGATGAAATCTCGCGCGCATGAAATTCAAGCAAAAGCAAATAGAGAGAGAATTGGGATATTCGATAGAGTATCGCGCAGAGCAGTAGCGGGCAAGAAGACTCCTATGCTATTTCGTAATCTTTCTGTCTCTCTTGAGGGACTATTATTAGCAAATGTATCCAGGCCATCGCTGCGAGTGAGCGAGTGAGAGATAGAGAGGGAGCGAGAGAACTGCTGCTTTGTGCGCCAGCCTCGATACACATTCTTCCTTCTGTATTCTAATATTCCACTGCGCGCGCGCGCGTCTCCGCAGTGGCTTCTCTCTTGCTTTCTTTTCTGCCGGCGTTGGGCTTCGACGGTTATTCGCCGCTCGCTTGCCTGGAAAACCAATTGAAAGCTTCCCGCTCGCAAGCGCGGGATCTCGCTTCGCTTATCTCGATGAGCGAGAGAACTCTTGTGAGAATTTCCTTCTCGTTAAAAAGAAAAAAGATACATCGTCGTTTACTCGAATGATTGTGAAAAAATCAAACGACATTCCCCCGTCCGGTGCTTAAAATACCGTGAATGTCTTCGAATAGTTCGTCAAAGCGAGGCTCTTCTGCTCCAACGCGATTGTTTGGAAAGTTTCTTGTCGCGCGTCTTTTCTTTATTAATCCAAGAGAGCGAGAGAGAGAGAGAGAGAGAGAGAGAGAGAGAGAGAGAGTAACGCAAACACCGAACCACGGAAATAGCTAAGTTTTATTTTTAAGCTTCGGCCCGCGCGATCGATTCCCGGTCGGCTGCCATTCCAATTCGTCGCGTTATTCCGGCGCGAGAACCTGTCACCTCGCGTCTGCCCGCTGAATTCGCGCAAGGCGAAGCGAGCTGCCGACGCAGTCGCAGGAGGACGTCCAGGAGGACGACGACTGCCGAGCCGCGCCGAAGCGACTGCAGGCGAGCCCGCCGTGCCGCCCTGGCGTCGAAAGCGCGGCTCGAGTTCGATGACAACTGGGTCGCGCCGACGAGAAACGCGCCGGGCGCACGCGCCATCGATCCAAGCGCCGTGCGCGCATGGCGCATTGCCCGCTCTCGTCGCTTCCCCGTTGGTTCTCTCGCCCGAGAGCGATCGGACACCGCGACTGGACCCTCTCGCTGCGATGGTGACCGCGGGGATGGGGAGGGGCGCCTCTTCCGATTCTCTCTCCGCTCGTCGGTCATTCCGAAACAGAGGCTCGGACGAACCGATCGTCAATCGCGCTAACGCATTTTTACAGCCACGCCGATTGACATCCGACTGTTCCTCTTGCCGAGGCAAATGTGCTCTTTACGTCAGTCGCCTTGCGCTCGTCCGCGTGGTTCATCTCCGCGCGCGCGTATATTTCAAGAGTGCGCGCTTACGCCAGGCAATCTAGCGAAGGTAAAGACCGCGCGGAGCTATTTCGAGCTTCGTTATGCAGCGAGCGATAAATAATAAAGCGCGCGTCTCGCCGACTGAATAACGAGCGTCAGCTTCGCAGGCTCACGCACTCGACAGCGGGCGCGGCGAGTGCTTCGTAATTTGCGAAAATGTTCAATGCGACGCGACCGCTCGACTCTTTCGCTCGGTCCACGTACTCGCCGTATTGCGTTACCAAGCGAATATCGATGTACACCATTTAATAATTTCGCCAGGGTATTATTTTTATCGCGATCAATACTTCGTCGAGCGTGGGTTTTGTTTCGGCAACGCTCGGCGGACGATGAAATTCGAACACGTCTAGTCGAGAACGCGTCGAAGTGACTCGCGAGAAGCCGTCGTCGTTGGTTAGGAAAATCGGCAAATCAAGGGAGTCGAGCGCGGCTCGGCATTTCATTGGCCGGCAAACGTTTCGATCGGCCGTGGCGCGCGATTCGCACTCGCCGCCGCTGGCGGACGGATCGCCGAGTAAGCGATTCCCCGTCCTCTCTTTCGCGCTTGGCAGGTCGCGAGCTATACGCGCGATATCAGTGAAACCGAGAGCGCCTACTTTTCCCTTTTGTTTTGACTTGAGCGCGCACGAAAGGCACGAAAAAGCTCGCCAATTTATAAACATCCGCGTCAATGTTTGACACACAGAGTATTATCGCGACGATTATTAATAACTCGGCACTCACGGCGCTTCCGAGCGTCGACCGGATGTTTCTCGAGTGCCATGCCATCTGCACCTTATCGAGCTGGGCTGATATTTGCCCACGAAGTCGAAAGTTCCCGTCGGCCGGGGGAATTTCGGATCGCGCAGTTTGCGCGCCGAGCGGCTACGCATGGACTGTCCTTGTGACGCCAAACGGTTCTGCCAGAAAAACAATTGCGTAGGCAAGCAGCTCTCGGACGCCGTTTAACGAAGGGTTCGCACTCTCCCTCGCCATACACACACACACACACACACACACACACACACACACACACACACACACACACACACACACACACACACACATATACATACGAGAATCGCGTCCACGGTAGATTGGTTTGCTCGCGCGACCAGAGGTGAAGTAAAGCGTAAAGAAAAGAACGAGAGACACGCGCCGCCGATCCGACGCGCACGACACGCCAGAAACCCTGAAACTTCAAACGAAGTCATCGTTTCGCCGAGATCTCGACGCTATAGCAGCCCCCAACTCGGCTTGTCCTTTATCGCACTGGCTCCCCTAATTCTTTTTTTCCTTCTCGTCCCTCGTTGCTTATCTCGCAGTTGAGGAGGGTCGCGAGATACCCTGGCAAATTATTGTATATATCCGCGCCACTGTTCCGCAGCTGCCGACTGGTCTTTCCTCCTCCTGTGACAGCCACCGAGTCTGACCATATTCGGCAATTTTCCACTTGAGCCAGAACCGTATTTCTCCTCCACGACATTGTCTCTGCTCTCGTGCTCGCATTGGCATCGAAGGAGGGGAGTAAAGACCCCTCGGCGCGTAGATACCGAGGGGAATTTCCTCGCGATCGTCGCTTGTAAGATTTGCTCTCCGAGGCAGAATCAGTGCCGCGATCGGGGATCGGAACCGCCAAGCGGCACTCGCTTTTAAGGCGAATCGCTGCGGCAGATCTCGCCAAGGGTAAGTTCGTTCCTCGGCCTAGAGCAGCCGTTCGGGGCTGGAGGAGGGGGAGGGGCGTCTCTCATCCGGCACGCGAAATATCACTGGGACGGAGCGTTTGGCGTGTCCCAGAGGCAAAATCACTCGCTGCCGTGAACGTATCCTCGTCAAGGTAGCGAGGGAGTAAAAGAATCTACGAATTGGAATCGGGGGCCGTCCCTTGCACGCGCGGCCCTTAAGTGGCTCGCACGCGAAGGTTAAGGCCGGCAGCGCATCCCGGGATCAATTCGCCAGCGTGCGGCTCGCGCGATTTGGCCAATTCGCGCGGAGCCGCAGTCCAGCTGTTCGCAGCGGCGCTCGCCTTGCGCGCAAGGCAATTAGCTCCTCGCGGCACGATCGGCCGAACTAATGACGCTCTCGACCTCGATTGCTGTGGCCGCCTCGCCAGTTCCCAATGGACGACCGTTCTATAATTATTGCGCGAGTGCGACTAGTAAACATGCTCGCTGCCCGAGCGATTCGCTTACTCTTCGTTTTCACGCGCGACCCCGTTCTCGTTTCGCCCGTGCTGCCGGAGCGACGCGCACAGAGGGAGGAAGCTCGATTAATTCCTTTTTATGTAGATTGACAATGTGCCAGCTGGAGATTCGCTTTGGAGCGATGGAGAAACGCATCGAGTGGGAAGAACATTCGTTTCGTCGGAGGTCCAAATTCA